GCCGAGCCGCCGATCGAGATAAGTCTGCCAAGTCGGATAAATGTCAGTATGCAGGTTCATCTCATCTCAAAAGTTTGGGGCCATCGCAATCGATCGCCGAGAAAAAATGACATACGTAGCAATGGTACCAAACAAACACCCGATCCAAGCCCACGGTGTCTTGGACTGGCTCAAAAACAGCCTCGCTATGCATATCGCTAACAGGTCGAAGAGGAAGAAGGTCGGTAGGTATAGGAAGAAGGCCGAGGCGGGCACCGTGAAGAAATGTGTCCACAGATGTAGCAGCTTGCTGGCGATTACCGAGACGAAGAAGACGCCGAAAACGTAGGATACCGAGAAGAGGAAACACATGTTGCCTGGGCTCGTTGCGCGGTCTGTTCGTTGAAAAGAGACTCAGACGCAGTGGCCGCTTCGCTGATTGTTGAAAGGAGGGAGGGCGGGCGGCGCGCACGAGAGCGAAAACAACGACGATGTTGATTAGAGGTTTAGTAAATGGGGGCGGAAAGGAGAGAAGGAAAAAAAGGGAAGGGAGGGAAGGGATCGGGAAAAGATGAAGAAAAATGATGGAAATAAAACAGAGCCAAGAAGTCTCGTCTGTCTCCCCCCAAACTAAAGTTAGTTAATGACTGACAGGGCCGAGGTGTAGGTAGAGCGTGTGTCGTGTGTCGCAATAGACGGGAACAAGCTTAGTCTGGAACTTGGGCGATTTCTGCATTCACCTTCCTTTCCAATGAGCGGGAGAATGTGGGGTAGACACCATCAAAAAAAACATGCCTGCAGAGTCAGACCCAAGAGCTCGAGGCCAAATAAGAAAGGGGTCGCGTGTTCAGGGGTCTGTGGCACTTCCAAAAGTAGCTCATTAGCTCCTCGGCCGCCAGATTATTAGGGGCTCGTTTTAGCAGGGTACAGCCCCGCCAATGGTTAGGTAGGTTTTTATTTTTCTAGGGAATCCCAGGGTCGCAACGTGGCTAATGCTGTCGGTACTGTACAAAAAAGCTTGGTTCGTCAAAGCTATCTTGTCCTCATGGTGTGCAATGCACTGCAGTTGGCGGAACAAATTGACCGGCTGATATCACACAATTATGGCGCATCTCTTTTGGTCAGCATGCAGTCACCGCTGATGGGCTTGATACTCAGAAGAGCATTGTTGTGTTTCCAATGCTACGCCACTCGACAACGCCCAAGCATCCATGGCGTGCATGCCATGGGCCGCCGGGGCCGTAACAATGCTCTTCCGGGGTGGGGTAGACAGGCTGTTTGTGGTAATTACTGCGTGGCACGAGTCCTTTGGGGGAGTAGAGTTACTGGGCTGAAGGTATTTTGCACCACGAACCAAGCGCCGATGGAATAATCTGCATGCACCGCCACCACTCTGCAGCAGTGGTTTACATCCATTGCCTTGATTTGGGATGTTCTTTTGAGCGGGGGTGATTGATTATTTGGCAATACGCCTCCCGGACTGTTTCGATCTTCGATTGGGATCGTCTTTTTGAGGGATTGCACTGGATTATCAATCCTGTCTACCGCGGCTACAGGATTAAAAACATGGAATGCTTGGCACAGTAAGCATAAACTAGATCCTTCAGCCCTTCATAATCCGTCATCATATTACCGGAACCCGTCTGGCTGCGGGATCGACCGTTGCGATTGCATACCTCCCTCCTTTCACAGGCTGCAAGCTACAGTTTCATTATGTGCTCACCGATGGATGAATCCTTTGACGTCTCTCCATTTTACGGCCCTGGCAATATAACTGGCCGTGTCGTATATCCCTTCCCCCCCAGGGCTGACTCGTTTTGGGAGTTGAGAGAGTTCGCAGCGGGTCCCAGTCCGTGTCGGCGTAGCACGCACCCTTCTAGCGTGCTTCTGTCATAAAAAAAGAATCAGAGCCTTTCCAACGGCGGCAGTTCATCTGCAAAGGCTGCATTGACAAGCGGGGCCCTCTTCTCCTTTTTCGGTCAACGTCTCCAGACGGCGAGATGCTCTAGACGCTCGGCATTGCTAACCGTGGAGGTCATAACATTAAAATGCTCCCCAAGTGTCAATCTCCGTCAATACGAGCATCTCCATCTCATAGACTTTCGATAGCTTCCTCCTTTGTGTTCCGTGATCCGAGAAAGAGGCGGTACACGGCACACGAGATATAGACGATCAGCTCTCCACTCCACTGTCACGCCGCTGGAACAAGCCATGAAACACCTTGTCCCTTGTCGTATCTGACGATCACTAATTTCTCGTTACATAACCGACCGAGAAAACAAAAACAGACCAAGTCAATATGTACCTGGCAGATTTAGCTCGTAAAGTCGAGCTATTGTTTTCTCTTGGTAATGGAGCACGCGACACATGATTCAAATCAATACGACGTGGTCGGATGTGCCGAGCCTTTTAGTCACCGAAAATGGCGACAATTTGCTTGGTACGAGCGTGATCAACATTGGCACATGGACAAGCTTTTTTGGTCGTGCACGGGGAGTTCGCTAAAATTCTCACCACGCTAGCACAGATTTTGCTGTTTTTGTCTGCTGTAGGGTAGTCTCGACTCCAAGTCACCTCAAAGATCAACAAGACTTGGTGATGGCCCATTGATGTCATGTAATGTGTTGTAGACTTTTGAGGAACTTCAAATACATCTATTTCTATCATATTTATTCGTCAAGGCATGTGTTGGTGCAACGAGTCGAATAGAACATCTCAACCCAAACCGCTCAAATGGCTGAGGATGAAGTAAAACACCAACCTGAGAGCTTTTTGATAACCTATGCGATTATTGGTGGCAGCAATCAGTGATGTCATCCATTGAGCCCCTAACCTACACTCTTGAATAAACTCATAGAATTCTCTTATCTTCACTTTTGATATGTGTTTATCTTAAAAGTGGCTTGCACCTTGATGTCATGTGGCATGTGACGTGGAAAATTCCCCACCTCCTGCTAACAACGACGAGCATTCTCTGTTCTGAGATACACTTTTTCTACTTGACTCTACCCTCTATCTAATCTACTAAGAAAAATTCCACTTGTCCCTACGACTTTGGACCAGATTGACACAATGACGGTCAGATTTCTATGTGAGCACGAAGAGTGCAACAAAACCTGTGAATCCAAATCTGGACTTGGGGATCATTCAAGCTATTCATGAGGGCGCTCGATACCTCTGTGAACATGAAGGACACGATAAGGCCTTCACTACCTGAACGAATACACTCGACTCCACGACCTCTGACCGTTTACCTGGGTTGCCTGAAAACATATCTGGGGAGAATTACACACGATTACGGCGGTCTACATCTGCTCGAAGCATTAGACTTGCTCCTCTGCAATTGTCAAGCGCCGATTCGACGAGCGGAGAGCCAGGCTGAATCCCCATGCAATAACAGGCGTTGCTACCTCCGGTGCAGAATGTCTACCCGAGATGGTTCCGTCAGATGTACCTCTGTGAGACTGTCTTCGACTTCGACACGACTCTTTTCACTTTACATGCCTTGAGGAACGATACACCGTCGAAACGAAAGACAGTCAAGACCTTTGGGCTCAAGCCGTTGTGTACGCTGTTCGACTCTTTGGGCGCTGTGGATATATATTGATCCCCCGATCAAGCTGAATACTATGCCAAATGACCAATTATGCGATGCCGAGACTCACAAGAATCGTTAGCTCTCTGATTAGAATAGATATCTTGAGAATGTCCACCAAATAACTCTGGATTGCCATGCCAATCAGTGGATGGGATCCTTCCGAATCTTGAGGCAGCGTGCCGGTTACCATGAGAAAGCAATGGATTCATCCCCATCACTACCAGGCTATCCGGGACCGTGTCCAAAGGACTCGAGATGGCAAGAGGCCGCCACCAGACCTTGTTACACTAGATAACGAGTTCTCGCCCTCCTCTCAACAGCCTTTGAGATTGCAATCGTCAATCGTGCTCACGGCCGAACATCGATTAACACTCTAGCAAAGCGTCCTGAGAGATACCTTGTCACAAGAAGTCTATATAACTCAGCTTCTAGTCGGCTCTCAGCCAGTATCAAGAAGCGTATGGGCCACCGAATGGCGAGAGAAATCGACTCGGTGTCTGATCCTTCGAATTGACGAATGGACCTGCGTGGAGTTGCGTCTGAACTTAGAAAGGTGGCGTCTGAAGAAAACAGCTTTTCTCGTCTATCAGCAATCAAAGACTGATCGGTCAATTTTGAGAAACGGCCTTGGGACTGGAGGCTATAGCGATCCTGCCAAGCAACGATAATTGTATTCCGATACTTAAACTTCCAGCAACTGCCAGCGCCGTTTCGGTTCAGCGTATTCCCTCCGAAACTTTCGATTATTGTTTCTATCTTTTACGCTCATCATAAGCTTCGCGGGCGCAACCATCGTGGCTGTGAGCTTATTCCGGTAGAGAGAACCTAGTGAGCTTGTCGACTACCAGCAGACAAGGCTGGTGCTTGATGAATTCGATGGCCAATGCAATCCCATGGAGAGTCGCGGGGCCTGAGTGGCAGCCAACTGGCATAGACAGATCCTGGATTTCTTCGATCGGAAAAAGACCGTGAATCAGGTGGCCTCGCGACCAGGCTACATGACAGATGCCGACTCCGACATGAAGGATCGCGTAGGAGGCGACTCCGGGGAAAATCCGATGAGGGGATAAGCAACAGCGATGGGAGTCACCCAGACCAAACTGAAAGTCATGATCAGCAACATTTGCGAAGGTTTGTAGCGATGTCGGACGCGTCGATGGCGGGGCAGACCGTGATTGGTGTAAAATACCTTTTACACCCAATCGTGGTAAGTGAATTACGGAACCTGTGCTCCGTCTGCGTCACTTTTCCGGCCGTCGGATGCCAATGACCCAATGACTCTAGAAAACTTTTGAATACTACCCCACGCCCACTTTAGGGCCATTTAAAACGCCGTCGAACCCCTGCGATCCGAATTGTAATCAATCGGGCTAAGATCTTATCAATTCTAGACGTCAATTGCAGCAGCAGCCCATTTCTCAAGATGTCTATCACCAGCCACAACGCGACCAATCCCTATTCGAGCGTCAACGACCTTCTCAGCAATGTCCGGAACTTCAAGATCATCGAGTCAACCCTGAGAGAGGGTGAGCAATTCGCCAATTCGTACTTTTCAACCGAGACCAAGATCAAGATCGCAAAGATGCTTGATGAGTTCGGTGTCGACTATATAGAGCTCACGAACCCGGCTGCTAGCCCACAATCACGGGACGACTGCGCAGCTATCTGCAAGCTCGGCCTCAAGGCTAAGATTCTAACACACACAAGATGTACCATGGAAGACGCTAAGCTTGCGTGTGATTGTGGAGTCGACGGTGTTGATGTCGTTATTGGAACAAGTCGTGAGTACACACGTACCGCTTGTTTGAGGACCGGCTGACATGCATCAGAATTCCTTCGAGAGCATTCCCTTGGCGGCAAGAATATGACCGCTATTACCAAGCAGGCCATTGAGGTCATTGAGTATATTAAGAGGTATGCGCACTATCGACTGCTTGAAGACAATAGCTAACAGTTGCTTAGCCGAGGATGCGAAGTCCGCTTCTCAAGTGAAGATTCTTTTCGGTAAGCTGCGCCTACGTCTCACTACGCCAATCCCTGTCGTCGACCAATCGATATTCACTGCTTGAAAAGACCTTGGCTTTAGAGAGTCATGATGAGTAGAATCTGGAGGATAGCGCAGGATCATTCGTGCAGATTGAGCTCTGTCTCGCATAAAATTGCGGGTTTAGAGCCTCTGCTTTGCTTTACCCAACAAGGCGAGAGAAAGAATCCATGCCATGCGCTTCTCCATAGGCTCTGCTTCTCCTGTCTGTCTTGGCGGTTCTTCGAGGGGCTCGGCCGACCAAACCGAGCAGAATCGCTAACGTGTGTCAAGATCTGATCTAGTCGATTTGCTCTCAATCTACCGCGCAGTCAACAACGTCGGTGTCAACAGAGTAGGCGTGGCAGATACCGTTGGCTGTGCTTCACCAAGACAGGTCTACGTAGGTGGCCATGCCCATCTTCAGTCTACATGATGCTAACTGTTCACAGGACCTTGTCCGAACTCTCCGAGGTTGTGTTTCCACCGATATCGAGGTTCACGTATGTGCTGCTGTGAACCCGTTTGCTTACCACTTTGCTAATATGTGACAGTTTCATGATGATACAGGCTCTGCTGTTGCGGTTAGTTACATTTTCTCAGAGTTCCTATGAGACGAGAAGCTGACCATTCCAAGAACGCTTTTTCTGCCCTTGAAGCTGGCGCTACACGTAAGTTCACCCTCACGGGCTTGGTCCTCATGAACAGCCAGAACATGCGTCAGACATACAACCTAGAGATGGGATTTTGTGTCCAACGACATCACCAACGGCATCTTCACGGGCGAACATCAGGCTGACTTATTGCTACATAGACGTCGACACATCCGTACTCGGCATTGGAGAACGAAACGGCATTACCGCTCTTGGAGCTCTCGTGCGTTGACCTTATCCTCCTTATGAAACTGGACATGATCTGACTCGAAACTACAGATGGCTAGAATGATGCCCACATCCAGAGAGTACATTCTCTCCAAGTACAAGCTCCACGAACTCAAGAAGATCGAAGATTTCGTCGCAGAATGCGTTGAGATCAACGTGCCATTCAACAACCCAATCACCGGCTTCTGCGCATTCACCCACAAGGCCGGCATCCACGCCAAGGCAATTCTCAACGACCCATCCACGTATGAGATCCTCAAGCCCGAGGATTTCGGTCTATCAAGATACGTGCACTTCACGTCACGACTCACCGGATGGAACGCCATCAAGAGTCGTGTTGACCAGCTTGGTCTCAAGATGACAGACGACCAGGTCAAGGAGTGTACGGCTAAGCTCAAGAGCATGGCGGATCTTAAGGTGATGACTCTTGATGAGAGCGATGCTCTGATCAGAAGCTTTCACTTGGAACTACAAAATGAAAATGGAGCATAGATAAAAGAAGAATAAGGGTGCTAGCGAAGTGCCTTGGTCTGCAACAAAACATAGGAGACATGCGCTCTGGCCCCGTTAATTGTGAAAAGTTTTTCTTCCTGTGTCAAACCTTCAACCTGGCTTATCTGTACTTGAAGCTTGTGATATCCTAGTACGGCTGCCTGGACTGCCTAAATTACCCCCACTTCCACACGTGATTTCGCGACTGGTTTTCGTGCACCAGCCAAACCAACAGCTCCCTGTCACGTAAAACAATGCAAGAATGTGGATATTAGCCCCCAGACGCATACTAACATCGCGTATAAATAAGTACAGCGCGCCGCCTCCAAATAAATCACCACTGAACTTCTAAATAACTGAACTCCACCCCATCGCCATGTATCTTCGCGAGAAGCCTGACCCTCCGACAGTCGGATGCTACCCGGGCCTCGGCATGAATCTTCGCTATCATGACTGTCATCACAAAGGCGAAATGTATCCAATTGGAATTCACTATAACTCCCCCGGGGCTGAATCCGATATGTTGCTCGTGCGGGAGGCTGTCATGATGGTTGTGATGAATCAATTGACAGATAAGCCTAACTGGCACATAAAGGTATGGATGCGTGCATGTGATATCGGTTAGTACGAAGCTTATTGGATTCAAGGTTTTCGACGAGACCATCGCCGAAAAATGGATTCAAGAAGCCCTTGCACTTCCAGTCGATCCTTTGTACGATGAGATCGTACAGAACAAAAACCCAGGAACCAGACATTGGCACAAGTATGGCCCCAATAGACTCAAGTACATCCTAGATCGGGGCTGTCTTGAATATGTAAGGATATCAATGTTCACAACTTTCTCCCTGCTAACCACTTGCAGTGTATCAAAGAGCTCCGTGTCAAGGCTAAATTCTTTGAGAAAACTGGTCTCATACCAGCTTTGGATGCAAACGCAACCGTCATCAAGTCGGACACGTTTATCGATGAGAGCCTCCATGAGCGTCTTCGGGGCGCTTTTGCGAAGCTGAAGGAAGAACAGAAAGACAACCCAGACTGGCATCCTCGCAGCTACGACATGGTACAAAACCTTGTGCACCCGTCCCTATACCCCCTTGTCTATGGTCGTTCTCGAGTATATCGCGACGAGGCTGTCGGTGTCGGAGATGCCGTTGAAAAATGGAGTGGCAAAGGAGAAGTCATACCGAAGAAACCTGCCGATGTCCCAGAAGAATACAATAGACGCTACGAATTTGGTGGCAGGAAAACCCATGAATTGTTTTGGTCCGATTCCTACCAGTGGCTTCCGTCCAACGTCAAGCTCCTGGATGACGGGAGTGTCAAATTGACGAGCTATATCAACAATCTACATCCCAAGCATAATGATATATACGAGACGGTTGAGAAACTCATCGAAAGAGCTCTCCCCGCCTGGGATCATAGTGTGTCGTTTGTGAGAGACTGGAAAGTCGTCTCCGCTGGCCGGACTGAGGCTCGCTTCCCGCGACCTAAGAACCCCGAGTAAGTAGCTACATTGCACTGGGATAGCACTGGCCAAAAGCTCACCATAATTTGCAGTGACGATAACGAAGCGAACTGGACCCCCCGAATCGATGACTGGACGCCTGATGATGCAGGGGAAGTTGAGTATGAAGATGTCATCAGAGATGCAGATGGCGACCTTCTTTATGACACCCGCAAGAAGAATGCTTGGGAAGAGATCAGAGAACCCGTTCAACCTGAGGCACCCGAGTTCAAAGCATGGGACTATGGTGTCAAACCCGGAATGTCACTTCGCGAACGGTTCAAGGATCTCCAAGTCATCGTCAAGATGGCCTCCATCGAGCTCACCCCAGACATGCCTGTGTTTCCTCCTGGAGGGTGGCACGTTGAAGGCCAAATGAACGAACATATCGTCGGCACAGCTCTTTACTACCTCGACTCTGAGAATGTGAAGCCAAGCTTTCTGCAATTCCGTATGCAGACCGATTATTATCAAGAGGACTGGAACGTAGGACAAGAGGCCTACGGCTGGATGGAGCAGGTCTATGGAACGAGGTTGAACGGAGGTGATTGTCTGCAGCGATATGGAAAGATTGAGACGAAGCAGGGTAGGTTGTTGGCGTTCCCCAATGTTTTCCACCACAGAGTTTCACATGTGGAGTTGGATGATATGAGTAAACCGGGCCATCGAAGGTTTATAGCGCTTTGGCTCGTTGATCCAAGAACAAGGATCATCAATACGGGCAACGTACCGCCTCAGCAGAAGAGCTGGTGGACGGAGGCTACGTTTGGGGGCTTGAGTGGTGATGACGCCACTAAAATTCCAAACGCCGTTGCGAAGCTGGCAGCTCAAGGGGAGCCAGAGCATCCTGGGTTGAAGGCTGCGGCAGAGAGTGGTAAGCCTCTTCCGGCGGAACTGGTGAGTATGGTGGAGGCTGAGGCAGATGATTCAGCAACGCCAATGTCGTTGGAAGAGGCGAAGGAGCATCGCCTGAAGTTGATGGACGAGAGGACTCGCTATCAACGAGATGCCGAGGAGAAGTGGTCTGCCATCCAGTATAGTTTTTGCGAGCATTAGCCGTCGTGTTGAAGTTAATTTTATGCGTCTTTCAACGTATAGGCGTTTGGGTTTTGGTGTAGGTTTGAAGGACGTTGTGCAACCCAAATACTCTAAATCAACCGCAAAGGACAGTCAATGCATTGTATGAAGATGTCACTTTCTGGAGTAATTTACAACATGCATAGTGAAGCCTGGAAGCGGCAACTGAGGCGTCAGCTACTTGAGCAGATTGCCATGTAAGAGTTTGCAAAGCAGAGATTATTATGACTGTCGTCAGACACATAATTGTTATCAAAGATAGGAGCTTTAACTGTGAATCAAGCAAGGTCGAAGAGTGGATGTTCAATAGTTCGAAGAAAACAGGGAGAGAAGTCTTTAGATAGAATTAAGTATTGGAATACTAGCTAATAGGACTTCCGATGCCGTTCTTCAATCGAACCGATCCCTAAACAGACAAGATCTGAATTAGCATTGTCCCACAGCTCAAAAGTCCAGCTTCTCGGCAACATCCTCTCGAACCTCAATAGTTGAATCCTCATTTCCATCGTCGAAAAGAGTACCAATCTCCTCCAATGAGAGACCCTTAGTCTCAGGAAACATAAAGTAGACAACAGGGGCACCAAGGAGGGGCACAATGACAAAGACCAGATAGTATTTCCATCCGACCTGAGCGAAGGCGATAGGCGCAGGCTGCGTATAGACTAGTTGTATTTGTCAGTCAGCTCGTCAATATCGAGATCGAATGCCACTTACTCAGAGTCATGATGAACAGGCCAATGACGGAGTAGCTCACGCCCTTGGCGCGGATAGAAGTGGGAAAGATCTCCGTGCAGTAAATGTAGCTAATGGCGTCGATGCATGTGGCGTAGAAAGTAACAAAGACGAATAAGAAGAATACACCAGCTGCGTTGATGGCGTGGTTGTTTTTGTTCTCAGCGGCCACAGCGACGATGGCTGCTTCACCAGCTACCATCAGTGCACATCCAACCTGGATATGGTCAGTATGTCCATCGTTAAAAAGGAGATGAGGATGTATCACGTACCAGGCCGACAGTTAGCATAAGAATCCTACCAAACTTATCAACAAACATAGCGCCCACCCAGTTGAGGAAGGCTGCCCATGCTGTGTACACTCCATACAAGAGGAGGGGGAGGTATCCTGTAAGACCGAGACCGTTGTACAGAAGAACCTGGTAGTTATTGATAACAAGAACTCCAGTAGATTGGGCGATACACCTAGAGATGGGATCAGCTCACGTTCGAAGCATGTGGTTGTCAAGGTTTACGTACTGAACAAATATACCGATGAGGATTCGCTTGCGATAGGAAGGCTTCTTCATGATGCCAACAAAGGACTTGGGCTCATTAGACTCAGCCATCAACTGGGTCTTGATAGCACGACATTCAGATTGGGCCGCTTCATTGTTCGAGTCCCCAGGCTGATGGTGAAGCTTGGTGAGGATATCAAGGGCCTCGGTCCCACGGTCTTGCGTTACGAGCCACCTAGGAGACTCTGGAATGAGCGATGATCCTAGGCCAAGAATACCGGGTGCAACAGCTGTGAATAGGCCACGGCATCAGTGATGTGAAACTCCGATGTAAAGCTTGTTCGTTACTTACCAGGAAGAGCGAGGCAGAGCCGCCACTGCATTTGAGGATTGGTTGCGAAGTAGCAGCCGAGTCCAGTCCAGGCGGCAAAGTTCTGTAGGGAGAAGATGGTATCAGTCATGATGAAACGAGTTGGAGCATGGAGATATAGGGGAACTGACATAGCCGAGAACGAGACAGAAACCGTGAGCTCCGACCATGCGGCCACGGATGTGAGGCGGAGCAACTTCTGACTGATACAGAGGGATAATGACATTCATCATGCCGGAACTGCGTGAGTGGATTAACATGAGCTCTTGATTGTGCATGCGAGTGGCGTAGAGACGCTGTGAACCTACCCAAGGCCATTGAGGAACCTGCCCACTAGCAACATAGCAATATGCACAGCGGCAGCTTGAAATATGACTGATACGACGCAAACAGCACAGATCCCCTGGATAGTTCTCTTTCGTCCAAATCTATCGGCGAGTTTCGTCATGAGGAGGCAACCGATGATGCCTCCAGCGGAGAAAAGGCCATTGGTAGCTAGAACAAGTCATGTCAGTACATGTATTGAGATCTTTTGAGTCTTTCGTACCGCCGATCATCGAGTTGGCATAATGTGAACCCGGGCCTGTGAGGTCGAGGTTAAAATAGGAGAAGAAAGGGGCAAGGCCGAAGACTGTGCCCATGATGGAGGCGTTGAAGCCATAGGTGAAAGAGCCAAGAGCCACGAAGAATACAAGTGCGAAATTGTATCTCGTCGCTGGAATCGACTTGTTGTTCATGGTTGCAGCCATTTCATCTTTGCTGCTCCTGGCGACGTTTGCTGTTTGTTCCTGTCTTAGGGTTGCAATGTCGAGATGCTGCAGATCGCTTTCTGGGGAAAGGCGACTGCATCTATATATGCAGATGATCCGGGGGCGGGGGTCGCTTCTCCGCGTCTGGGGTAATATATCGTGGGGAAGTGATCCAGGGATATCTCAGCTTGGCCTTGGGCAAGGTGTCGTCCAAGGAGAAACAAGACGCGAAATCAGAGGCAAACAAACGGACGGCCTCTTCGGCATCTCAAGAAGCCGCTCACCATACACGATACCAAAATGGGTAGTTTAGTGAGTGAGGCGGCGTCTCGGCATTTTAGACCAATTCTTAGTGCGGTTTAGTTCAGCCACGTTGGTCTTCTCCAGGGAGAACCTTCTGTCAAATAGTGGATGATGTCTTCAAACCCCTCGTAGGTGGTGTCTGGCCGACGGACCTGCGAAATTTGTGCTCGACGCGACAGCTAAGATTACCAGCACAATCATGAGCAACTTCTCTTTTCCCGACTTTGATGACCTTACAGTTGTCGAAGGCCAACCGAAAGGATGCCTCTGGGGCTTTTTCGACGTTGATGGTCAGAAAGACCAGTTGGGAAGTAAGTAAAACAGTAAAGCAGGTCGCCCTGTTGAAGTTCAAGACATCCCTCGCTGTTTAGTTTACAAGACAAAGGAGCTACTGGAAGGGGGAAAGAAAAGAAAATTGAGACTGACAGTTTATCTACAGCCCTGCGGCTCCTCACCAAGGAAGTTGTACAGAAGGCGAAGGACGAGATACAAACCGGAACGCACGTGCAGCTCGACTGGCCTCTCCATAACATTGAGTTCCCAGGCTTTGGACGAATTCCACTGCAGCATACCGTCAAGGACCTCGCTGAGGAAGGATTTGTAGCCTTTGACGATGTTATATCTTTCAACACGCAGACAAGCTCTCAGTGGGATAGTTTAAAGCATGTAGGTTTATCTCATCTCACGAAGGCTTGCGTCCTCCTCCAATTCAAGGCTGACCAGCTAATTTACTCGACAGTTCGGGAGCCAGAAGACAGGGGTTTACTACAATGGCTCGACCCATGAGCAACTCAAGACGTCAGATGATCTTGGTATTCACAGTATGTACTGCTTGTTCTGGATCAGTCTCCAGTATCACTACTGACTTATCCCACAGAGATGTGTGATAGAGGCGGCATTGTCGGTAGAGGCATTCTAGTCGACTGGGTACGCATCCATGCTCAAGATCTCTTCTTATAACTAATCACTCAGTGGAATTAGCTCAGTTGGTGGGAGCACGAGAATCCAGGCCTCGAGCCGCCGTCGGCTATCAGATGCCACAAAATTCCCGTCTCGGAGCTCGAAGCCACACTTGCCTACCAGGGGACAGAAACAAGGCAGGGAGACATCCTCATCGTGAGAAGCGGTTTCGTGAGATGGCACAAGTATGTATTCAAATTCCTTTTAGATTGACAAGTCTGATACATCTTCCTCCAACAGCAACGCCAAGGCCGATATTCGAGCTTTGGGCACCGAAAAACAACACTACATGATTGGCCTCGCAAATACTGACGAGACGGTTAGATGGTTGTACTCGAAGCACTTTTCAGCAGTTGCTGGCGACACTATGGGTTTCGAGGCATGGCCGTATCCAGATGACTGCTGCTTACACGAATGGTTGCTTGTCCAGTGGGGAACACCGATTGGCGAGCTTTGGGATCTGGAGGCACTGGCTGAAGAGTGCAAGGTTCATCACAGGTGGTCGTTTTTCTTAGCAAGTGCCCCATTGAGGGTGGTTGGCGGTTGTGCCTCGCCCCCTAATGCCATAGCTATCTTCTAGCTGTCTGCCAATGGATTAGTTCACAGCTAGACTTAGTAAAAGGCTACATTAATGCACTATTGTTTAGTAAATGATCACCCAAAGCGAGTACAAGCGTAGAGATGTATACGAAGTACAAAATTTGAAGTCAAGTGACCGATATCAGCCTAACAAGACTGCGACTGCAAATTACGCCGTTAAACCACAGTTTAGACAATTGATTCATCAGCTTTCGTTTTCCCATTGTAATTTGCCCCGAGAGAGAATTACACACATCCCATGACCAATATTGTTAGCTCGAGTATCATTCTCACTCACCTTGATGCCGCGGGGACTGGGCCAAGATGCCGTCTTCACCGGCATTCAAGTGGACCGAACCGTTCGTTCTAGCCAGAAGCCGCGGCAATACTACCTCAGCCTCTACCACTTTTGTTTAATCCACAGTAGGGTGACTTGGTCCAGGTACTGCGGCTACTGTTAAAGTATCATCTCTCATCCTGTCATAGAACGTTGATACAAGAATAACAGCAACACAACCATTTTCGACCTTGAAGCGCTTTGGGTTCTTGAACTGCCATCAGACCACAGCCTTGAACATGGGGTCTCAAATAAACCGCCGTCCTGTCCGTGTGGCATCCGCATCAGGCGCCATCACAGACATGGTCGAGAACCTGGCAGAGCTCGCCAAGAATGCTGAGGTCGACTTTATCGTGGGAGACTGGCTGTCAGAGTACAACATGGCAGCACGCGGGATGCTCAAAGCACAGCGTTCCGAAAGCCCAAGTTTTGATGCTGCTCCAGCATTCGAGCAGCAGTTCGTCGACTCCTTCCAGAGCGCATTGCCAGACTTGGCCGCACGAAAGATCAAGATGGCTGTCAACGCCGGAGCATGCGACACAGAACTTCTATATCAGCGTATCCAGAAGATTGTTCAGGACTCTGGAACAGACCTGCGAGTTGCCTGGATTGAAGGAGACGAAGTTCTCGACGCCGTGCAGCAGTACGTTTCTGAGGGAACAAAGCTTCGAAACATCACTACCGGCCAGTCTTTTCAGGAATGGGGACATAACCCTGTGTATGCGCAGTGCTATCTGGGTTCACGAGGCATCTCCCAGGCTTTCATCAATGGGGCTGACATCGTCCTCTGCGGTCGTGTGGCCGACGCAGCTCCGACCATGGGCGCTGCTGCATACTGGCATGGGTGGTCTAGCACACAGTACCAGGAGCTCGCACACGCCTTGATCGCTGGTCATCTGATAGAGTGTTCCTACTATGTCACAGGCGGCAACTATACCGGCTTCAAGACACTCCCTCAGGGCAAGAGTCCCCTGCTAAATATGCCCATCGCCCGCATCCAATGTGATGGTTCGTTCTTCATCGAGTGCCACCACTCACAGGATAGGGGCGGTGAGGTATCTGTCAATACGTGCCGATCTCAACTGCTCTACGAACTACAGGGCAAGCGATACTACAACTCGGACGTAGTCGCCATCGTGGACCAGGTGAAGATGGAACAGGCCGGCCCTGATAGTGTCTTTGTACATAACATCGGCTTCGAAAAGCCTCCGCCAACGACAAAGGCCGGCCTAACTGCCCCCGGAGGCTACCAAGCCGAGGTACACTACTTCATCGTTGGCCTGGATGCTGAAGAGAAGGCCGCACTTTTGGAAAAACAGCTTAGATTCTACCTCGATGTTGAGTCCATGTCAAAACTTGCCTTCACGGTCAGCGGGACCTGCCCATCCAACCCAGCATCCCAAGACGCCGCTACTGTCGATGTGAGAGTCTTTGCCCAAGCACCTCATGCCGATGCTCTGTCTCCGTCCAGCTTCCGCAACAAGTGCTGGAATATAGTCATGTCGACATACTCCGGAGCAACCTTCGCCGTCGATGACCGCCAGGCATTTCCGAAGCCATACAATGAGTACTTTGTCACTATAATACCACAAGCCCTTGTCAAGCATATAGCGCATCTTCCTTGGTGTGAGCGCGTGATCGACATCGAGCCACCGACTGATACAGTTCCTTATGTTCACCAGCAAGAGGTGCAGCCGGTGTCTGAACCACAGCCGCTGCTCTCCTTTGGGCCGAGCATCATGGCGCCGCTAGGCTACATCGTTCATGCCCGATCCGGCGACAAAGGCTCGGATTGTAATATCGGCTTCTTTGTCCGACACGAGGATGAGTACACCTGGCTGAAGTCTTTGCTCACTGTGGACCGAATCATCGATATTTTACAGAATGATTATAACGGAGGACGCGTCGAACGATTCGAGCTGCCGAACATTCAAGGCAAGTTACCCTTTTACCCTCGTTTGTATATGTACAGACCAATAACAAGTGAATTTTTAGCTGTCCATTTTCTACTAAAAGACCACCTTGACCGAGGAGTGGCGGCGAGCTCGACCTATGATGTGCTGGGAAAGAATGTGGCCGAGTATCTAAGAGCAAAGCATGTGCCTATCCCAAGAAAGTTTCTTGATCGCGGAAGAATTTAGTCTTCTATTCATAATATGATAGCGATGTTACAATGTCTTTTTTAGATATGAAACGAGTAATTTATTATGTCTCAATTAAATGTGAATATATCGGGAATGTAATCCTCAAGCAAGAGACTTTGGGCTGTCAGATCCAAGAATTGATGCGGCGAGAAAGTCTCAGCTGAGTACAGCGGTGTAGGTAACCAGGAGGCGACCACACCCTGCTCAGCATTATCATGGCCTTGCCACCCTTGAATATCCTCTTGAATATCGTCTCGACTGTCTTCCCCTGCCCGATCCGCCTCCTGTTGAAGAGGTGGATAAGCCGGCGCTGGGTGGTTCACCATCCCTGAAGGTTCAGGCTGTGCATAATCCCTCATTCGGCTCCTGATCATGGCAAAGAGGCGGTACACCCATCTTCCAACGGGCCATGATTCCTGTAGGACTTCGAGACCGAGCATACAGATGTCTGAACGGGCTTCGCCTAGACCCTTTCGGACTTGGAAGTTCTCCAACTCCCTTGATTCGCAGAGTGAGAGGAGATGCATGGCTAGAGCGTTAAAGAGGGCTGGTATTCTGAATTAAATGGTTATCAGTATAGAATCGGCTAATGGACACAAAACTTGATTTGGTAGCTGCGCTTCCAACACTACTCACGTGTGAATCTGGCATAGTCTCCCTGCTGAGTCTGCCAAAATGTCTTCTATTATGCGGGTAATCTCATTCGCTGCGTCAAAGGCTTTCTGACGGTTTCCCCATCGGCAGTTTTCATCGTTCTGATCCTCATTCTGGGGACGGCAAAGAAGGATGGTAGCATAGCTGATGGACTGGATTAGTGCGAGGTCCTGGGCCGGTTCTAAAAAATAGCAGTACGCACCACGTTGCCATTGCAAGCATAGCGGCCCAGAGGCCATGTTGACCTGGGCCAAGGCCTCTATATGCCATTGTTCCTGGTAGTTCTGAACGAAACCGTTGAAGATCATGTTCCAGATCTTCAGGTCCTTTGCTCGAATCTACAGGTTTGGAGGCTGCATATCTAGAGGATAGAATACCACCGACTGGGAAATACGAGGCTAGTCAGCGGTGCGGCCTAGGGAATGCCTTACTTTTAAAATATAGACGTACATATCTTGGATAAATGGGCCATGTGTATGAAATATGCGGCTCGTTCTGGCCTCTCAGAGGTGACCACGTTCTCGAGGTCCTTCTCTGTAGGGGCCTCGACATCCCAGTCTGAATCCGATATATGACGAGGCTTTCCGATTGAGCCGCTAACAAGGTTCTCTCGAATCTGTATCATTCTCGGTCAGTGATACTTAATATGCCCAAAGAACTTGGTGCCTACATAGATAGACCACCAGATTCTCTTCCATCTTGATGCGGTTTTAGAGTCCACAGACGAGTGTTGAGTTCTGTTAGAGCGAAGAGGGACGGTCAGTTTGGCATAAAGATAGCTAGGAGAGTAATTAAAACGTACGACCGATGCATGCCGAGGCTCGTTGCAAGATTTGATGTTATTCCCAGCCAATGCCACGAGTCCTTAGGATCATTAGGGCCTCCCCACCAAAAGCTCATCAGAAAGGTTCCCACGATGATATCGACCTTACTGGGCTCCTGATCTGCGTCGTACAGAGCCTTTGCTTGATGATAGTAGATACTCCGCGCACCATAACGGCTGACAGACCCGTTCTGCTGGAGGACATCTGTGGTGCAGATACTCACGGCGACCATGAGAAGAGCGCTGAGAACAATGAGAGAGGTCTCGCCTGCGTCGGTGGCTCTGCGAAACGAGGCCTCGTCGAGGATTGGAAATGCTGGGTGGAAAGCCTCAAAGTAACAGTCGAGGAGAAGGTGAAGTGTCTCGCGACATGGGAAGTACAGGAGACGCTGCGATCTCAGATGGCTGATCTGACATGTCACTGTATCAACTCGGGAGCGTGGACCGGGATCGCCATCACTGTGGCACGTCAGGGGGAAGTGTAGTCTGTGGGGATGAGTTGATGAGCTTGAGAACAAGGGCCCGATGACATTGTGAACGACATAACTGAGGCTAAAGGCCTCGCCAAGAAAGGCAGTCCTGTTGGTGTCGGTGATGGTTGACGTGGAGTTGTTGGCACTATTCTCGGCGATGCGTGCGTGCAGAAAGCCAGGTGATTCAGGCGTGTCCTGTGTGGTAGCTGTGCTGTTGATGTTGGCGGCGTTGGTGTTGCCATCCCCCGAGTCAGCCACAACAATCTCGTGGGCGTCAGTGGCGTTGAACTCTATGTCACGATGGGAAATCGACGGTGACGCCAGGACCGCATGCTGCGGCGATTGAGGTATCGCTGGAGGGTTTGAGGAACTTGACGAAGACTGCAGTGTCTCATCAGCCTCGGGATCCTTGTGCACTGGCGAGGACTTGCTTGCCCGGAGCCGTCTCTGACGCGGGTACTTCCCCCTTCTCGACTCAATGAGTTGGCAATCAGCCCCTGCAGAATCACAATTGAGGCAGGGGACCCCGTTCGGTGCTAAGCACTTGATCTTGCGGGCATTGCATCGGCGACATGCGATGGCAGTACGGACGGGCATGGTGGAGAGTAAAGACAGGGGAGACTGACTTGCTGCGAAGGCGGCTTCTTAATAATGACGCCCGGCCTGGTTCTGGCACTACGCGCATCTCCAAATGCATACGAGCTCGAGACCCCGCGTTCCCCGCGTCTAGACTCGATCTAGCCCCCGGGTTTAGACTTTGGCCACAGTAGTGCGTAGGATAGCTCCGCCACCAATAGAACCATTCCCGGAACGTCAAGAAGCCGTGCCTTAAGAAGCCGAGAGTCGTGCTTCTCATGTCTCGCAGTCCGCGACCAGCAAAGACGCCACAGATATATGAATGAAACCAAGGAGTTGTGTAGAGGAGGATACCTGGACAAGCAACACTTACCACAAAGCATGACTGACCCTAACACTCGCCAGATCGCCCTCGTCACTGGGGGCGGCTCAGGTATCTCGCTTGCCTTTGCCAAGAAGATCCACGAGATCGGTTACCATATCCTAATCGCAGACCTTGCTCTTCATTCCACCGCCTCGACATGGATTGACTCACTACAACCAAAAGATGCAGACAGGGTCAAGTTCTTCAAACTCGACGTCACAGACTGGGCACAGCTTGAGGCAGCGTTTGATCACTGCGCAACACTCTTCCAAGGCGTGCCTACCGTCGTGGTCCCTGGAGCTGGCGTCTATGAACCCTCGAGTAATTCCTTCTGGGAAGACCGAGATAGCGACTCGAGATACAAAGTCCTGGACATTAATCTCGTGCACCCTATCAAGACAACTCGCATTGCTGTGAGGAGGCTTGTTGAAGCTGGGCTTCCTGGAACTGTCATCCATCTGTCGAGCATTGCTGCGCAGAGATCGAGTATCATTACTCCGCTGTACACTGCTTCAAAGCATGCACTGAGCAGTTTTGTTCGGGGAATGGCGCCTCTCGCCCAAACCTCAGGCATTCGGGTCTTGGGAGTTGCTCCTGGGTGAGACATAAATATCCATTTCCATTTTAAGTAGCCTCTGCTAACATGTACTTTAAAGAACCGTGTCCACACCACTCTTCTCAGAGAAACCCGAGGCAGCCAAGTTCCTTGACATGGAGCGGGATTATCTCTTGCCGCCGGATGCTGTAGCCAACGCCATGATGGCTTTACTCACTCAAACTGAAGAGTATGAGCCAGGCACCATGCTGGAAGTCTGTCATGAGACGGATTGGAGGAAGGTTTCTCTTCTTGATGACCCTGGGCCGCAGGGCCCTGCCAGCCTTACTAGCAAGAAGAAAGATGCAGTGAAGGATATTTACAAGTATCTGGCTCCTGGAAAGTCATCAACAGATAGTATTACGACTGACTAAAAATAGAGTCACTTGTGTATGGGGTTGTGCACTTGCTCAAATATCCACAATTTACGCAATGACATAAATACCTGCTCAGTCCTTATGTGACGCTATCTGAATCGTCAGTCTCATATCTGAAGCCACTATCTCTCAAATTTTACAAATGAGTTATGAGAGAAGGTGACACGTCGCATCTTCGTTGAAATAAATAATCGAGCCATTGCGCAAGCATCCAGTTATACTCGTTTATTCAAGCCTGTGAAATGAAGATTTCCTACATAAGGATTAGATTCCATGAATGCCAGAACTTTAACCATGGATTCACAGCTAGAGATATAATACCGCGAGTCGTTCAGATGTTGATGTTATGAATAATCCAGTGCCTTTCGTTTATGCAATAATAAACGATCATTTACTTATCAGAAAGTAATAGAAATGGTATTTGAGCGTGGAATTACGTATAATCAGAGCTGTAGTGGCTTTGATGTCTCGAAGGGTAATGCCTAGTCGGGAATGAGGAATTGCTAACTTGAGTGAACGCGGGCAAGCCAAGATGCCGCCCGCAAGCTGAGAAGCCGTGGAAATTAAGACGCCGTACCGACTGAGATGCCGAGCAACATGTACGCATGGGTACTGTTGAAAACGCCGACGGAAGCCAAGTCTAAGAAAGCAACTCTCATTTAAAGGATTTACAGCAACCGTGATCTAAACTTTCAGTCAGTACATATCTCTATAGATTTATACATCAGTTGTGAAAGATGCCCCGCTCCAACATTGAGTTTACAACGTCCGACGGTGTCACCCTTCGAGGGTGGTTTTACCTCCCAACGACAGAAAATCCATCCAAGATTCCCTGCTTGGTCCTCTGCCATGGTTTCTCAGCACTGAAAGATATGGACCTTGACGCTTTCGCCGAACGCTTCACCAGCCGGCTCAAGATGGCATGTGTAGTTTACGACAACAGAGGACTCGGTGACAGCGATACCGGACCAGGTCAGCCCAGGCAAGAGATTGTTCCTGACCTCCAGGTCGCCGATATATCTGATGCCATCACTTTTGCCCAGTCTCGGAGCGAGGTTGATCCGGAGAGGATTGGTATCTGGGGAAGTTCTTACAGTGGCGGGCATGTCCTCCGCGTTGGCGCTATTGATAGACGCGTCAAGGTAGTTCTATCTCAGGTCCCGTGTTTGAATGGATGGGACAACTTCAACCGGCTTGTGCGTCCCGATTTTGCCGAGTTGATGGAAGGCGAATTCCAGAAAGGTTGGTCAAGTTCCCTAGTGGTTAACCACACGCTGATCTGTTTATCTTGCCAGACCGACTCGAACGAGCTGCCGGAAACGCTCCCGTCACCGTCAAAGTGGTAGACGAGAACCCTCTGGCTCCCTCTGCGCTCCCCACGCCTGATAGCTACGACTTTTTCCAGAAGCTCTGGGCTCCCAAGTCAGCATGGAAGAATGAGGTCACGCTCAAGTCGCTGGAGCTCTTCCGTGCGCACGATCCATCGGCGTGGATCCATCGCATCTCACCGACACCACTCTTGATGACGGTTGCGGAAAATGATGTTTTGACGCCGACAGACCTAGCTCTCGAAGCATACTCTCGGGCAAGGGAACCGAAGCAACTCTCCATCTTACCAGGAGGGCATTTTGACGCTTATACTGGAAACAACTTTGAGCGAAATGTGGCTCGGCAGATCAAGTTCCTCAAGGACTTTTTGGGCGTTGAAGATAACTAGCTTTGTGAGTTACATCTACAAGAAAAAGGATTGATATTGTCCCTTTGTGTTGGGGAAATGTTTACTCATTTACTCAGACAGTGCCATATAATGGTACCCACCTGGCCACCAATCATTTGAATTTACTGTAGCTGTCCTAATTGATACACAGAACATATAAGATTTGAAAAGTCCTGGCGTTGTTCTAAAGTGAGAAGTTGACTAAGTATGTATCTTCCACATGACCCCATGGATAAGAGTCCATGCATGCACGCAATCCAATGCTCAAATGTCGTCCCATCCAAGTAGACCAAGGTAATAGGAACAATGCGACACAACGCAGTCCTCTCTGCAGGCATAATCACAAACTTGTTTTCGAAGTCGATTTGCAAAATGCAGAGAAGACTTTCGATAGTCCCCATCAGGCATTGGCTTTATGTATTGCCACTGGTCCAAACAATCCTCTCCCTGCTCAAGGTTGACTTTGAGGAACTTTCTGTCGTTGGCATGGAATGGCTCGTCGAGGTAGGGATTGCAAAACTCATGTTTATCGCTGGCTTTAAAAGAGGGAGCATCCTTACGCCGTTTCAGGTTGTGATCGATCAGCCAAATGCTAAGATAAATCATCTCTTCAGCGAGCTCGAATAGCTTGGAGAACGCGAAATCGACCGGCTCAATCCACGGGATTGTATTTCGATCCTCTTCGAAAAGCTCGATGCCCCACCGCTCGTCATACTCAATGCCTATGTGGCGAATGTTGGGGTGACAATCTCCTTTTTGAAGGAATAGATCTTCAAGATAGTCCCATTCAAAGTCAAAAATATCGTCAAATTGCAAGATGATCAAGTCTGTCTTCGGATAAATGGTGATGTATGACGGGGCACCACCTGAGGAGTAATATGCAGCTCTTGATTCATTGTAGCACTTGCGAGACGTTTTGATTTTCTCGAAACGTTTCGGACGAAAGAAGTGAAAGGGGTGTCAGTGAAAAAGGTCCAGACAAGGAATGTATATATAGCCAAATAATTAGACTTTACAAACACTACGCCGCGTGGGTCAACTGGGGTGCTCTGAGTTGTATCCAAGTACCTTGTGTCGTGTATCAGACAGATAGAGTTTGTTACATAGAGTCATCAACTGTGCACACGTGATGCCAATGTAAAAGCAGAAATCCATTTAGAGTTGGTGACTACAACGAAGAAATTATCGAACAATGTCCTACTGTTAGAAACGAAACATTCTGCTTTTAAATCTCAGAGATAGTCCCATCCCAGAAGGCCTATCCAAGGCGTGTAAGGTTCTTCATCAACCACCATATTCATTTGCTCAAAAGCCTCCCAAATATGCTTCGCAAAATAGAAGGATGACTTGCGGTAGTCTCCGTCTGGAATCGGGTTGATGTACTCCCATTGTTCCTGCTCCGTTTCTTCATTGAAAAACACCTCGACAAGCCTCCTATCCTTTGCGTAGTAGTCCAAAGACGGATCTCGTGTGCGCCTACTAGAAGCATCGGCCTTGAGCTTCAGATTATAATCTACAAGAAATACCCCTAGAGTCCGCGCCGACCAGCCCATGTCTTTAATAAGCTCTGCCGCTCGACAAAGTTCCCCACCTTGTTCCTCGGTATAAAGTTGGGATCCCCAATCTTCCTGATACTCAATACCGAGAATTATATTAGGGTCACTGAATGAATCGTAAACGTCTTCTATTGCCAATCCCAGGCTGTCCGGTCGTATGATGAAGAGGTCGTGATATCGTTTCGTAATCGTGACATAGAAAGGAGCACTACCAGATAGACAGTACCCCATCGAGCCATAGCCATATCCCTTAAATGGCACAAAAGCTTTCTTCATCATCAACCTCGATTCGTTGCAGGTATTCCACAGGTCTGGATCGTAAATCTGTGTGGATATATCACTAGTGCTCTCCCCGTTGACACCGACGAAGTCTTCTTCCGGCAACGGTATACCCAGAGCCAAGTTGGCGCCATAATCGAAGCCCGGGACGTCCTCGACGCGAACCGAAGGTTCTTGCAAAGCGTCGAATAATCGGAAGACGCGAACTCCTCGCCGTTTTGGGCGAATAGCAATAGCTATGTCCCAAATCTTTTGCCTAAGCTCAGCTGGGAGAGCAGAGAAAAGATGGAATTCAGTCGGCATGATTGAGAATTATCGGTATGAAGGAGATGGGAGGCTAGAGAAGTGCCAGCGGGACAGGCGTTCTCTACTTTTGTGGAGGTGGAAGAAACCCTATACATGACGAGAGAAGAGAAAGGATATCCTAGATACAGTTGAGACAGAAAGTCGTCTATATATACACCATCAAATGAGTTAACCTAACTTCCGGCAAGTACACCGTTTGAGTCATCACTAGTGATATACATCATACGCGAGGAGTGCACGGAAGTTTGAAAGAATCAAAGTTCTCACACGAGATTGGTTTATTGGACATATGTGCAGGGTGGTAACCCTAGCTTAAGGCTCCGGTAGCTAATGAGACTTCATTCACACAGTCCCTTTTACAACGAAGCTTATGTTCATGCACTAAGTTCTGTTTTCCGGAATAAGCTCTCTGCCACAAGTTTCAACTGCAAATAATACATCTCGACAAAAGTTCAAACATTTTAGGCCTGGCATAAAAGAGCCAAGGTTTCAACCATACGTGAGCTAAATGAGTGACCATCAAACACAAAACACTTTCTCGAGCCACAAGGCATATATACCACCTTAAACATAGATTCGGGCCTAACCTTGCCTTTTCGATGTGTTCGTCTACCAGTTGACATGAGAGGGTGATCAGCGATGCTTGCGTCAATTTTGATTTACTCATTCGTGACTCGGCGATGTTTTCTGCAATGAATTCTTCCCTCTGAACAACCCTGGTGTTTAGGTACCGTACTCCAGAGAAATGTGCAATGTCATCTCAGTCTAGTTCGACGCAGAGAGTGTCACCCATGTCGAGAAAATACATTGACAGTATCGCACGCGATGTCAGCAAGCGGGAAGGCGCAGAAAGGAAATCTCCATTTGTATCATAACATGCACAGACTGGGTCATATGCATATGGATGGTTCTTTAGCAATCATTTACGTAGTAGATGACTCCTTAGCAGCAGTAGTAGTAGTAATCTTCTCAACGACGACTTCAGTGGCATGTTGATTGATACTTAAAGCTTATGACGCCTCAGCGAGGCATATCAAGCCACCACACTGAAAAATCCCATTTCAATTTTCAGTGGCATGTCATAATAGACTATTAATTGCAGTAAATACGGTATCGAGTTGTTTGGGAAGAAGTGATAGTGCCGACTGGCGAGGCCTGGAATGAGCTGGATAGAGCATGGTGGGCTGTAGTTAGTTGTAGTGGCGGACCACATTATACGCCTGGTCACAATACTCAGAAAGAGCACTTCAGTTGCATATAGAAAACCAGGTTTCATTGAGTGGCTGTGTATTTGGAAACGTTCCAAATAGGTAGAACAAAATAATAGACAATCATACAATCTCTACACTGACCCGGAAGTTATCCCAAAAGCTCAGTTTTTGGAATCCCTTGACACCAGCCATGTAATAAAGTGAAGTATAGCCGACACGCTCATACATACTCCCTTTAGCACGAAGTAAGATACCCTTCTGATCACTTCCGAGAAGAATGAGGAGGATACAAAGATCGCTCTCATCAGTCGGTTCGAGTTCCGGTGCATCATAAGCGAAAAAGGCGCTGAACTGTACCCCTGCGATTTCAAACTCGTACGAGGTGTTGCTATCTCGTCGATACTGCCAAGGCTCGAATTTTAGAAGCGGAGCATTAACACGTAGCGTCCTCTTTTCAAGACCTTGAAAGTCGAGAGGGTTTTGGAACGCTGGGAACCCTTCCAACCTAACGCACTCCACCCAAGGTTTAGACTGGTCAGCAATAGTGACGCTGCAATCAGATTGGCAAGATGCCCACGACCAGCTTGGGAAGCAATCCAACTTCTTCCGGGCGTCGTCTTCTGGATCAGCCTGCCAAATCAGCCCCCAAGAAATATGGTCGCCGAATATCCCGCCAAAGTACTCATCCCCGCCTAGGGTCGCAAGCCGGGTTCCAAGTCCATGGACAGCGACGAGCCGATCTGTCGCGAATGAGAGGCCTTTAGAACTATACTCTTGCACGTAATGCATCCATGGACTCCAGGGCTGCTTTAATTCCCCCGGAAGGGAAATCCCATGGAAAATGCCCGAGTTAGAGATTCTGGGATCAGTCGAAAAGGTGTCACATCGGCTAGAGAATTCGGATCTGGCTGCCATATCGCCGACGCAAATCCAGAACACGCCGTTTCTGGACCAGTGGAGGGTTCGACGAGCTAGAAGTCGTTCTTGAAAACACCAACCCCGTTTGAGAAGCGGCGCCGCGTCGAATTCATCAACCAGAGCTCTCTGAGGTGCGGGGAGGTGAATAAATTCATTGGTGCGTTTGTCGAAGCCGATAACACAGCTGGTAGTGGGATATCGATGTGCTGGACGTGGAGCAAATAATCCCGTGCTACTGTCCGAGGCGCCGAGCGCCGAGATCAGGCATACCGCATTGGTATAGTACGCACCCATCTTGGGCGCTTCCGCTTTGAAGTCGTCTTGGTAGTTGTCTCCAGGGTGAGATTGTATAATGCAGAGGGCATCAACCCAAAGATACCGAAATCCGAGAAGCCGGGTGAGCTTGATAGTGTCTTGTATGGTCTTTGGCAACACTGTTTCATCGATGTGCTTCAGGCGAGCTGAGAGATTCGCCCGAGTTGTCTTTGCTGGATCATTTCCACTGCCCCAGCAATAGCTGAGTATCAAGTATTTGATTTGCTCAGCTTGAGAAGGAATTTGACCGAATTCCTCGGATGATATGATGAGCCTAGCCTTTGGACTTTGATCATCTCCGACGTCGATCAAACGTTTGGGCATGGCACCTATTCTGTCCATTTTGAACCCTTGCTTGCATTTTCGATGAATTCGATTGCCGTTGATACAGTCGTTGAACCAGGGTTTTATCGAGTCCTGTACGAGGGTTTCCACATCCTCATTTACTGTTTCTGGAGAGAAGGCTAAGTATCCATTTCATCAGCTGGAGTCGACCTAATTGTTGTTGGCAATTCATACACCTTGGTGAAGGCGCGGGTCCAGGCGTGCCATCCCACTCTTGAAGCCATGCAGCCGATTTCGACCAAGCCAAGTCTTGGAAGAACTCTTGACGATTATCGTCACCAATCTGGAAGAATAGTTCTCTTCCTCTAAAGAACCAGAGCTTGCATAGGCCACTGGGTAGCTCGTCCAGGTTTGGTAACCAGTGGAGGACTCGGGCTCTTAGGTTGATGCAGAGACCACATCCAGCGGCAGCCGATTCCTCCAAACCAATCGAAGAGTCGTAGTGATCAAGGTGAAGGTACGTGTCGCGCTCCATGACCGCTTTGTCATGATCCAGAACCCACTCTTCGCAATTCCACGGAATGGATCGGCATTTGAGGCATCTCCATTCGCAGGTTTGAATCGGATTAGCAGGGTTAGTCATGCTGGCCAGTGTTTATATCTCTACGATGAAACAAACGCTAGAGTGCGGAAGACCCTGCTTATAAACTTACCCAACATTTTAATTCCGGTGCAACTAAGACCAGTAACCCTGGCCAAGTGGAAGCATGCATCAGCGCTAACTCAGCTAATAGGACGCCTCGGAGGCTCGTAAGCGCTTTGCCTCCAGAAATGAAGCCAATACAAAGTCTCGATATCAGCCTTCTCTCCACCCAGCTGACGTGAATGCATCACGGTTCCTTCCTCCTAGTAGCTGATTGGATGTGAAAATTGTGTGGGTGGTGAATATGCAATGTAAATTGCACATGGAATCTCAGCCTCAAAACGCCAAGGCCAGATCACACAATTGCGTAGGCAGACCAGTATTTAGGCGTACCAATATCTCTCAGACATTTTTCTTCTTTCTCTTTTTCGATTATACAATCAAAGACTTGAGGCTTTTCAAAAGGACATCGACAATGGAAGCCACAGCTTGGGATGACGGATACCCAAAGTATAAAGGCTGGGTCCGTTGCGGTTGCGACTACGTTCGACCTGCCGTAAGTTAGCATCTATCATCAGCGACTAATTGATGAATACTAACCTGATGGATTCTGTAAACGAACAGTGGGGAGAAGAAAGAGGAGTACGCATAGCAAGCTTTGCAATGATACGCTGATGACATACTAACCAGGTCGCAGTGCGGGTATAATGATTGCGAAGGGGGGTTTCACGGCCGTGATGGAGGTGTTTGGATTGACTGGGAGTTCGAGGGAGGGGTAACAAAGAGGAGATGGTATTGCGACTGGGATTGTGCTACGTGGACAGCTGAACAACTGGTAAGCGCTTCTGTATTGCTTTTGTGAATCTTACTGACTGATTAGTGTGAATGCGACGATTCAGATTGTCTTTGCGGCGGTTAAGCGCCGGGAAGTTCTAGCGCGATTTCGTTAAACTAGGTTAACTGTCGTTTGAGGATCATTTTATGCTGCTGTACGAATAGACTGGCCAGTTATTACAATGTCAAAGGCCAGCCCGGGTCATGAGACCACTGTGTTTGAAACTTATCAATATTTCGTAGTTATATACCTTAAAATTCATGGATTTGCACGGGATGACAATTATATCAGTAGACCAAAGGAAAATTGAATAGCATCTGACTTGAGGTAGCCGACTTGAGTCCATAATATTTTGGGCCAGAAACCTGTCAGATGGTGCGCCACCTCATTATTCCACCGTAGGCCCGCGTTTGCCGCCAGCCTGATTGCAATTCGTCCACCTTTCAGCCCATTAATGACGGAATAGATGCTGAGTTCTATAAACGCAGTGGATGCGGAGCTATTTCAGCTGCTCCGAGAGTGACTGTCCCTGGAAGGCTGACAGTTCTGAGTTAGAAGCTATGCTTGTAAAATGAGTAACCACTAAGCATAAAACGCTTTCTTGGTCTGCATAGTATACACTACCTTAATCATAGATTCAGGCTTTAAATATACCTTTTTAAAGTATTTATTTACTTTAATTAGTTTACACAAGAAGGTGATTAGCGATGATTGCGTTAATTTAGATTTACTCATTTATGACCCGACGATGTCTATTGCAGCTTGGCCTAGTCTTAGCCAACATCATGAATTTTCAAGATCCTCCCATCCAAGAAGTCCGATCCAATCTTCAGGAGAGCGCCCATGATTGACTGCTGTGTACCCAGGCGAGGTCCATAAACGGCCTGCCACTTGATTTGCGAGGTGTGCATAATAAATAGATGAGGCTCGAAAATTCCCACCTGCCACTGGATTCAAATACTCCCACTCATTCATGTTATCTTCCCCTTTTTCGAGAGGAACCGGTATGAACTTCCTATCACTCGCATAGAACTCTGTCGTGTCGCTGTCGCGAGACGAAGCGGCGCCTCTCTTCCGCTTCAAGTTTGTGTCGACCAACCACAGGTGTCGTTTCAGCGACAATAAACGCAAAAAGTCCATGGCAAGTGTCACATTCTGCCAAGCCCTGGGGTTGTCATTGTCTCGGATGCTGTCATACACTATACCAACTTCCTTGCAAGACTCCACAGGGCAGGGAGATGATTCTGGAGTGCCGGGAAACACTTCAATAGGGCCCCAGTTGGTACCGAAGAAGTTGTCAAAATCTAGGATGAAAAGGTCCGAGCCTGGCCAGACAGACAAGCAGAACGGGTTGCTGCCTGAGCAATAGCTCACGCTCCCGCGCTCGGGTAGTCCCCAGGGGTTGTTCGAGGGATTAGCGAAGTGCTTCCGAATAACACGCCTCGATTCTTTGCAAGCGGTCCAGAGCCCGCAATCGATCATGTAGGTCGAGACAATATTGTCTAAAGATCCCTCGAGGCCCACATAACCCTTGGGTCTCAGGGGAGCGCCAAAATACCAGGGCCTGTTGTATTCGATTGAGGTTCGTGCGGGGGTAAGTAAACCGTTGGCCAAAAAGGAAGCCTTCATGCTCGTTCTGTAAATCCGCAAGATATGATTCCTCAGTGAGGTAGCTCTATGGCCCTCATATGAAGGGGACTTGTATGCCTGAAAGATTTGGACTCCACGGTGGTGTGACCGAACGGCAAAATACCAGATCTCCTCCCTGAGTTCTCGCGGAAGGAGAGGAAATTTGTGGAAAGTAGTAGCCATGTTAGTGAGTGAAGTTCGATGGTGGTGCGGAGCACGAGGAGGTCGTATATGCGAAGTGATGATATAGATTCGTGGTTCGCGTTAAGTAGAAAGGAGAAAACGAGGGAGGGATCCGGACGAAGAAGAGAGATTTATATGATTCAAGGGCGTGGAGGCTTACGTCCTTAAGGTTTCGTTTAAAATTAAACTTTTGCGTTATAATATGCTTCTACAATATCGATCACTTGGCTGGTATGAGGAACTAAGTTTCAAAGCTTGTTGTAACATGCTAGGTTCTCTCTGCCTGAATAAGCTCTCAGCCATAAGTCTCAGCCACAAGTCTTAACTGTAAATAACACTCCTAGCTCACAACTTAGACATCAATGCCATGATGACAGACAAATTGCTATAGAAAAAGGCTGATATCATAAAAACTTGTTGTAACATGCAACAAACACTGTAGGTGTATCTTGATAAGAAGTTTAACTTGTGAGCTAGATGTCTTATCGGTAGCTTAGACTTGTAATAAGAACTTAAACAGTAGAGAAAACTCAGTCCTGCAGTTCATGATTAGGGTGAACGCTGGACTCAGTATGCGCATGACAGCAGCTTCTATAGAGTCGTCATCCGGTTCAATATGACCCTTGAAAATGCTCCGTCAGCGGTTTTAAGTGCTTATCTGAAGAATTAGACCAACTCGACGCCCTTGGGCTCGGTTCTGAAGAGTGTATTTACTAGATAAGCTCAATGGACCGTCGTCCCTCTCGGCCCGTCTCCTGGAAGTGAATGTTTGTCTTTTCTGTGCAAAAGTATCCCACTCTCTTATACTGAGCCCATGTACCTTCGCCCTGGCTTGAAGTGCTCGACGCCGCTCGAACCAGGATTCCCTGGATTTGCGATGTCTTAGTCGACGTACCAAATATGTGATTCCCGAACTCGAAAATTGGTAAGCATCTTATCTCTCCCCGCTCATGGTGCTCCAGTGTATCGTACACGTAGCCTGATGACGAAAGACTAAACGCCAAGAGCTGGCAGGATAGCCTCAGCGTAACATTAAGGGCCATGCCGTTTACTATGTGTGTGGCTCGAACCTCCAGGTCTGATATCAGGGATTGTATATAATCCCATGAGTTAGAACCACTGCTGCCATCAACTGTTAAGCTAATCCTTGAGCCGGACGAGAAAGCTGGGCCGATTTTCTTCAGGTGGTGCGAGATCTTGCCGTCCACCGATGCCCAAGACCATGAGGGAACAGACCGGCCAGAAGGTCGCCTTTTGACTCCAGGTTCCGCCACCCAGAGAAGATTGAAAGGTAAAGTCTCTTCCCATAGCCCGGCAGCGTACGTGAAGCCCGTACTCTGCTGAATGAAGTATGCTACACCGGCAATAGCCATCATCTTGTCGCTGTCATTAGTAAGGTTGCGGATCGAGTAGCTCGTCACCATCTCATACCACCTCAGGTGGAACTCTGCTTTCTCCTTCATATCCTGTCCCCTGAAGGACCAAAGGAAACTGAAGGCCCCTCGAATGCTTAGTCTTGCGGCGTTGGTCCTCAGAGATGACATTTGTACATCGTAAAGTTGTTTCCACTCGGCCCATAGTTCATGCTTGGGGTTGGCGTACCAGCTTTCCTCAACTGTGTTATTGGCTGGGCGGTTGAAAGGTCTTGTAGATGAACCGGAATGTTGTACGCTCTTACTACTACAGAGCTGCTTGGGTGGTTCACGGCCTGGATCAGGGACTTTCGGTAAGTTCAGAGTCCCATCTTGGGTAAAATGGGCAATCAGGGGATACTCTTCTTCCCGATGACACTCAGAGGTAGTCAATGTGTTGCACTCAAACATCAAAAGACCTGAGCAAAAGTGCAGAATCCTGCTAGCGAGGAACCTTTCTTGAAAGGTCCAGCCTCTTGTAGCCAGGAACGAACGATCTACCCTTTCACCAAAAAGATGCACCAGGTCGGGATACCTGATCCGCGAGCGGACAACGAGTGCAGATGTCCAGTTAGCGCATAGAACGCAGTCGTAGGGATAAAGATCTCTGGGTTGATAGCAACCACCATCTGAGTTCTTGGATGCCGTCGCGGATATCACAAACTTTGCCCTTGCGTAAACAAGACCCATGTCGCCAGACTCCTCTTCCCATTCCTCGGTTCGTTGCATGATGCAGAGCGAGTCGATCCAGAGATATTTGATCCCCATTCTGTATGTTATGTCAACCGCGTCTCGAAAACTCGGATCCAGGGTCTCTATCATAATCGTTTTCATCGTTTCTTCACTGTCCTTCCTAAGCTCAGACTTGACCGTCGTTCCCCAGCAGTGACTAAGTGCAGCATACTCAACGGTACGGTCTGATTCAAGAGTTTTGCTCAGTACCAGTTGTATGGCCCCTTGTCCCCTGGATTGCACATCGATGAGTCGTTTGGGAAGGTATCGCTGACTCGTGGATCGAATGAAGTGGTTGCAGCAATTATGATGTTCACGTTCACACTTGTCAACTATTTCTCGGGCCCAAAGAAAGCTAGCCTCAGAGCCAGTCGTGTTGAACTGCCAGCAATTATGTTTGTAAGGTGCTAGGGCACTGAGTCAGTCATGTACACCTGCACAACAAGCGCCAGACCTACCATAGCTGGCATCTTGGACTTTTAGCCAAGGGAATAGACTGGATCTCTTCTCGTATAGGCGAATCCGAAGTGATTGCCGACGACCAAAGTCTCTAGTCGCCGAGACCTGGACTGAGAGGTTCCTGGATTTGACGCCTTGTTCACAGTCACCAGAACTACATGGTCTAGGGATTGCGGGAAGTAGCGGTGTATTGACGTCTGGTTTCTGGGCGATAGACTCTCCCGGGCAAGCTCTAGATGCTGGAGTTGTCTGAGAGCCAAATGAGGAATGCCAGAGGAGGCTACATAGATGGCAGTCTTTGGAGGACTGCTTAAGCTGATCTTTAGTATAAAACTCGTATTCTTCTTTCGATCGCGTCAACTTCCAACGGGTGCCCCGGAGAATGGAGGACTGGTCAACTATGTTGCTACATTTTGCACACAATCTGCAGCATTTTCCCTGTGGCATTTCCAACCGCGACGCGTAAAGTGGGGGCCTATGGGCACAGAATAATGACAGAAACCAGGGACCGAACCCGGCACATAGGTAAGGGAGCTCTCTGATCAGTCGGTAGAGTGATACAAGTGCAAACAATGGCGATAGAAGGATGCAAAAGGCGAAAACTATGAGATGAAAACTTGCTAAGAGGCTGACGATTGAGAAGAGTACGCAGACAATGCTCACAAAGGCGATAGGCGGGTGGCTCTTGACCCATAAGTTGAGGAAGTACACTGACGGTGTCCAAACCAAGCCAACAGCAAAAACCTTGGACAAGCCCAAGGTTTCGTGGTTATTGGACGCCATCGTGTTGTCTGGTTCCTACAAAGGAAGATAAAATATGATGAACTCAACAGATTCATGAGCGGGGTTGGGATGATATGATTGGGTTGGTTGCCCAAGAGGCTCAGCCCTGCTTACTGTGTCTGTGCGTTGCTCTTCAACGTGATCTTGTCGTTGTATACTGCTGATAGGTCGGGACTGGCCAACGAGAGAATAGAGGCCTATGTCACCTGACACCTCGGATCCCAGCAGAACGAAGCAAGTTATTAGCCCAGCATTGACCAACGATAGCTCTGTTCAAATTCGATTATTCAGATACTCTATAATCACTCAGCTAGAGATATTGCCTCACTATCACTTCTAGACCTAGTATCTGACTTCTTGACAATGTCAAATGCTTTGGACAAGCGAAGCCTGAAGCCCTTCTCGACGCCGACTCGATAATGGTTAGCTTCTTTTTTCAGTCAAGATACCTTGTAGAATGACAACTCACGAATTGCCAAATGGGCATATTTGGATATTACCGGCGCCCAGATCAATACAGCCACCAACTGTCCAACACTCCAAGTCCCCGTCTCCCCTCTCAGCAATAGGTTCAGCAACGGCGCACGTATCACAGCCAGACCAAAGCAAATGCATGCAAGAGCACCAGCTTCAGCAACATGTATTGCGAAAAGAGAAGCTTTTATAAATATCCACTTGAGCCATTCCCAAGCTTCAAGCTGACGTTTTGATAAGGATTTGTGCTTTTTGAGAAATGATGTTGGAGAGTTGCAAAGACTCCAGATTTTGGCCCACCATAAAATAGCAAGTAATCCGAGGAATGCGTATATACTTCCCGCTGGAAAGACATACCAGTATAGACCTTCTCGCTCTTCCACATAAAACGTTCGAAGGGAAGGATTACCGCCGCATTCTTGAAGTGTATTCTGTCCTTGGAACATCTTGTATATCCGATCTGGATCTGGATTTGCAGCTGTATCAGCTGCAACACCAGCAAGTACCAGAGCAAGTGTCGAGAGGAGAAGATAGTACATTGAGTCTAGCTCGGCTCTTCGGAGGGAGATCTGTCCGAGAATAATGGGCCAAGCTCCCATACCTGCAAGAAATTGGACACTGTCGCGATTCCACAGAAGACTCTGCCAATTCTCAGCCCCAGTGAAGATAGCTGACCTGGAACTGGCGTTTATCAGGGCTATTTCGATGGCAACGACGAAAAAGCATTGTGCTTCGTGAAGCTCTGCGAGAAAGATACTCGTTGCGTGCGCAAGATTCGTGCGCTCGAGGCGTTCAAGACCTGATACACGATGGGTCAAGAGATTAGGACCCGGGTTTCTTTTTCGGAAGAGATGAGTAAAGATTGATGTTGAAGTGTTGATGAACTTGTTGACTTTTAGAAGTAGGAAAAAGAGCCATGCAAAGACCACCATGGCTGTTTGAGTAATGTATGTTATTAGTACCTGTAGAGTGATAAGCGTGGGTTACCGTCGCTGAAGTCATGGGCTTACTCCAGGTCCAGTAATATCGATGTTGATATCGCTTTCCAGTCCGTCGCATAGCGGTGCAAGAGCCTCGTACACCTTGATCCATTGGATAGTCTCACTCTCGAAATACCCCGGGTTGAGTTGGCCGATGGAGCACTCCCCCATGCTAGTATCACGGCAACTTGCAGCAGCGCACTCATAAGTCAGATTCAGAACCGCCTTTCCGTCAAAGTCGGTCGCGTTAGTAATACCAAAAGACGCCAAAGCGCTCGAGATCTGCTCCCTCGATGTCCCGTTTCCTACCCCGCCACGATGTTGATCAAGTGTAGAGAATGTGGAGTTTGCGAGAGTTAACGATGAGAGAGATAGACATTGCCACAGAGTCTTCCAAGAGGCGAATAAGTCATCTGAGCTGGTGCATATGACGGAACAGTTCTTTTCTGAAGAATCGTGCCCAGAGCAAACGTCGCGTAACAAAGTCACGGGCTCAGCCGCAGTCACGTCGTCTCCTTTGTCGAGTCTTGTGAAGAGATCCCACGGTTCGTAGAGTGTTTCCCAAAGAATCGTGCTCGTGTCGGGTCGCGTGACAGCATATCGCGTAAGCCCATCCAGCCATCCTCCATTGACAACCCTCACTATCCCATGATCCATCACGATGGGTATCTCGCGGGGAGAGGCTGAAAATGGATTTATTATTCGTTTGTTGGCATAAGTTCGATTGATATTTATATCGTTGTTTTGTCTATGAGAGATTTTGTGATCCTGTTTCATCTGATGGTATATCTCACGTGGCCTTTGAAGACCCCTGCCAATGAACCTTGCAACGTGAATTCGACAACCAAGATCCTAGTCCAGATGTATCTGAGAATCTGACAATTTATAATTCAAAAAGAAAAAAGAAAAAAGAAATCAATCTTCATACATAAAATCATAGTCTGCAACAATTTGCTCAACATCAAACGTATCCCAACAACGTTTTTGCCCTAGGCCCAGGGCCCCAGATGCTCATTCCTTTACAACCACGTAAGCCTCCTTTGATTCATCATATCGAACAACGCCCCGAGAATTCCATGTCAGCAACTGCTCCTGACTCTCAATCACTGGCAGTGACACCTCATGATTCCCCAAAGAAATCCAAGGCAAAGAAGATTCAGTGCTCCAATCACTCCCTTGCCTCTGCTTCATTTTGTCCTGCCACTTTTGGGTTCGACGGAGCTCTCTCGCCCTGCGTTCTAACTGGGCGTATGAAACGGAGCCAATCTCGAAGAAGGACATGAAGTCATTGATCCTTTCTCTTGGCATCATTTCTCTTGCCATCTTTTTGAAGAAATATGGAGTAGGTAATACTGGCAACGCAGCGGTGTTGACTGGGTAATGGCGATCGTCGTCGAAGATTGGCCATGCCCGCTGTTGGAATATCTTGTACTGCATCGGGCCGCCATTATCGAGATATAGCTTTGTCCCAAGGTATTTCCACCACGGCTGCTCGTCAAAAAGTAGGTCACCACCCGAGTATCTGTAACCAGTACTGTGACTCAGACCGTGTAAGCCTCCCCATGGCATTCCTCTTCCGAATAAATCTTCTGAAGTTATGTCCGTTCTGAAGCTACACAGCTTTTCAACAAAGCTTTTGAGAGTTGAAGTATATTGTGGTTTTGCTATGGCAAAACGAATCATCGTAAAGATCAAAGTGAAGCCGTACTGAGCCATAGACTCAATCGCGGACCGCTTTTCTTCTCCTTTAATGCCAACGTCCATGCCATACTCAATCGGATCCACCAAGACATTGTCAGGGAATAGAAGTCCAGTCTCTGGTCGTGCATCGGCTACTGGCAGCCAGGCATCAGCACATTGGGCAAAGATGGCGCCATATAGTGAGGATGTATACACCCAAACACAGCGAATCGCCTCCTCGTCACGTCTGTTGCCCCCAAAGGCCACGTAACTCAAAATTCGTCGTTTGGCAAAAGGATCGCTCTCGAAGCTCGTAGTCCTCATATTTAGAGACCCCAGCTCAACTTTTAAGAATGCCCTTAACAAGCGTCGTCTTTCACCTTCCGAAAGGTTGCAGGAGTCAAATCTCTTTGCCACCTTTTGTCCTTTGAACACGAGATGGCTCTGGCTGTGGGTAGGTTGAGGAAGACAAATGTACTCCCGAGGTTGGAAGTCCGCAGTCGCCTTTGTGATGTAATCCTCGACAAAAACCATCAGAAGGCTATGCAATTTGTCAAGCTGGTCCAAGAGAACGGCATCGTGGATCAACAAAGGATTTCGAAGCTTATGACACTCCCAATGCAGTAAATGAGCATCGAAGCAGAGCTTGGATTTTCGGGCCTTTCGGAGAGACGGGTAAAGGATAATTGCCATAGCATCTTGAATCATCTGGTCGTCCAAGTCGCGCTCGAGTAAATGTCGTATTATTATGCTTTTGTATCCAAGGTATTGCTCGAGCATTGTTGGAGAGGCTTGGATGAGGCTCGAGATAGTGGCCTTAGATAGAAGGTGTAAGAATATCTGCAGACGCAGCTCGGCGGGAAGTCTGGTAAAGGGATCCATGGTGGTCATAATCATGTTTTCTGGATCAGGTGCTGACTTGAGGAGTGTTTTTAAGGTGGAGCTGTCCGATGTTGCGATTGGAGGCAGAAGAATGAGTTTATTCCGTGGTAAGAAAGAAAGAATTCCGGGAGAGGAATGCTCTTGTTTATATACATTACTCTGCCACGGATTAAAGTTAACTCTGAAATGGTGTCCTGTGTAAAGGCTATCCTGTGTTTATTGGTGTCCTTCACCTTTGTGCGCTGGTGGCTGAAGCCTCTTTTAAAACCCTAACCTCAGGCCAGATATTTGACTCAAAACTGCTCAAAAGGATGTGTTTGACTGATAGCCTAAACTTTATAATTTACAAGGCAAAATCTCTGAGTTTAATATTCTGGATATGCGTCATTCTTTTTCTTTACCCCAGGCTTTTTCCTGTATTCAATTAGGATACTTATATTGCCTCCCAAAAGCTGAACTAAGTTGGGACTTTGCAGTGTGTTGGCTTGCTATGTCTCGCTGAGACGGCATAAGCTTCAAGGATCAATCAATTATCTGTTCTGGTACTACGTTTGTGTTTTCTTCCAAAAGCTTGACTTAGTTGACACCCTGCAGTGTGTTGGCTTGACATGTCATGAGGAGCTACCATGAGCTTGAACAGCCAGTTAATCAATTAATCCCTTCTAAGCATGGTGCGGCTTGAAACGCGATAAACATTTCACGCCATCGGACCTTATGATATTGCTGACAGGTAGGGGTATTATGTATTAAGTATATGGTATTTAGCTAAAGAATGTATGTGAAGATCAAGATCGTCTGCTGCTAGACATAGAAGGATTACGGCTAACTTCCTCAACAGTCATCTGCTTAGGATGTCCGGTATTTGAAGTCAAAGGCAGCTCATCCCCCGACTCTATTCCCTCTCTGAATGGATTCTTCTGAGGCTTCGTCTCGACAGTGACCTCAAACTCTGTTCGGCGATGAATGCCAGGTCCGCCGTTGTGCCTACCCATAGTACCAGACAAGTCCTCGTCGGAATCGCCAGCGACAACCTTTGATCGGTGTGTCAACTGGACGTTGTTGCCCTGAGTCCATGGTGCATCGTTGGTGCGCTGGTTGTTGCTTTGGTGGTGGCCAGAGTGCGACATGGAGGGGTAGTAGTCGTCGGCGTTCTCGCCCTTTGCGAGGCGGGTAATAAGCTTAGCCATGGACATTTCGATATTCAGTTTGACCATGTATGCGACGGGGTGGAACTGGATGTAGACGACCTGGTTTGGAAGCGACATGAGACCGATGAGCATGCCCTAGCCGGAGTCAGCACAGTTTATATTTCGAGAGAGGATGACGAGATACTTACGTCCATGAGGATCGAAATGATCATGAGCTTGGCGTTGAAGCCAACAAGAGGCTCATACTTCTTCAAGCGATGCTGTTCGACGAGTCGCTTCTTGACAGTTCGAAGGAAGTACCAGTTGAGACCAGCATCGACGAGAAGGATGAGAACCTTGGACATACGATCCCAAACCTCGTTGATGCGAACGAAACTGTATTGGTCAGTATAAACCTAGCCAAGCTAGTTATAGTGACTTACGTTTGACTGGCGGGAGGAACAGTATGAGCAGGGATCCAGATAACGAAGACGGCAATGTTGATGATAGTGATGGCAATAGCGGTTCCCCATTTTAGCTTAAAGATAGTAGATCGGTGTTCGGCGATGATGGAGATTCGGTTGACGATGATTTGCATGAGAAGCTGGACCTCGAAGACCCAGAAGAAGAGAATAAAGAACAAGACCGGTACACTAGACACTGTTAGCACGCCACTTTCGACACTGGCTGAGTGGCTGTCTTACGTCGGTCCGATGATTCCATCCAAGAAAATCCATCCGATGATAGCGATGATGATATTTGCTAGAATCTCTCCCCAGAGCATGTAGATATAGGTACTTCGTAGCGGGTTTCGATTTCGTCGAGTCTGCTTCCACGCTTCCCAAACCGTAAGTAGGCCAAAGCCGAGGGTGAACCCCATAGCAATGGAAGCGATCTTGATATCACTCGTAGTCGCCGACATGATGCATAAAAGGAGTGATACGGAAAAAAGCAAAGAGGAATGAAGGGATCAGCCGGGGAAAAGAGAGGGAAGAGGGACAGAATCTGGGGATCCAGGGGGTTTATACCTACATGCAGACACTACCAGCACCACGGGAGGTAAGCGTGAAGCTGGAGATATTTAGTGCCGCCGGGACGAGACTCCAGGAACGGTCTGGCGTGGCGTGGCGAAACGATATTCTCTAGCCAAGTCTCTGGATGAATCGCATCTGCGCTTTGACCCTCGCTTTGGCACTTGAGCTCTTGTGGACAATTGGACGACCTGATTCGATGGCAGAATACGCGGGTTGAATAGCTTAACCAACATCCCTACCGTTACCCGAGGGTCTGGTCCCCAGATGCATGGTATGATCGTCTCTCGGTACGCATGATCCACAGGGATGAGCATCACATCACGCATTGTATTTCCGCACTTTAATTCTGTAACCGAGCTCCAAAACGGGAGAGTTACCAATGGCTCCGGCGTACATTTCCGGTTACAGTATGTCACCCAAGCCTCGGTTCTCCTCCTCTCGCGATGTCATCACACACTTTTTTACGCTCCCGCTAAAATGGCACTTGACTCAGGGGGGGACGCCACTAGAATCAACGCCACAGGAGCTGGCAGCGTATCAAATTTCGGCACTTGGGAATCCTTTGAGATCAAGTTCCGTTGTGCCAAGTTGCTGGGCTTCCGCTTTTGTCAACGCCACTTGTGGTTCTTTTGGATAGCGGAATGAACCGTTGTTCTTTGCTGAAACGTTAGATGAAGTTAATATCGAACAAGCTCATTCGTTGTCAAAGTTTGCCGACACTTGTTTAGTGTTGGGGACAGAGACATCTTCTTGACACATTCTACCGTGGAAATTCCGCCGTTAGATTTGCTCCGTGCCGGGCCGACTGTGCATGATCTTCATTGAATTGAGATGGGCCACGGAAATAAAAGAGATTATTGGGATGAATTGGGCCGCCGAAATGGAGACATTCTGAGACGAACTCCATTTTGCGCCTGTCCAACCGAGCTGGGTCTCAGAATAATTCCTCCTCTCTCAACGTTACAACAACCCGGGCATAACTTCGGGATTCAATGCAGTAGGTCTCATCGTCGAGATGATCATCTGCTGGTAAATCCCAACACATGACTCACCCCAATGCGTAGCCCTTCTTATAGTAGTAGACGGTGATAAAGTGCAGAGCCTCAGAGTCAGTAGGGAAAGATCGTCGGCACTATGTTAGTCATTGGTGGATCAGGGTAACAGCGCTGGTGGAACAGATCAATTTTTGAGATCCATCACCCACGTGGATTGTCAGTGCGTTCCCTGTTCGAAGTGGATTTGGTGATACCCTACACGTCACTTAGCTTTCGGTTATCTTTTACCTGAATCTTTAACAGACTGAGATTTGAGTCAATCAGTCTGGATGCAGCTGATCGTCGGCTTCACATATTCTTGGCAGTCACGCAAGCCTGTTTGACGCGCTATAGGCCAAGTCCAATATGCCGATCTTTTGCTACCTACCGATTGTAACGGGAGATCCCAGGAAATCATCTATAGCTCCTTGTATTTTGGTATTAATGATATTGTTATTAAAAACAAAAGATTGAACTAGTGCAAGTTAAGGAATATCAAGTTTTAAAGTAATAGAAGATTGGTTATAATGAAGTAGTCCTAATATAATATAAATCTAATTACATCTCCAGTATTCTCCCCTTTCTTTCCATTCCGCAATGCGATACTTTCGATCATAGTTGAGTCAAATTCCTGAACCTTTACGCGCCTAACCACTACGCCCGACAAGCCAGAATGGCTGTTTCGCATCAGCCTCATAACCTCGCCAATCACATCACTGGTGCCAGGAGGTAAAATCCATTTCCATATAGCAGCTGCCGCCTTGAGGTTGCTCATAAGTATAGTCAGATTCTCGCATCGAACGTGATTGTCGATCGACAATTTCCTCATAGTTTCCTGTATGCACAAGCTCGCAGTTCTTTCTGCCTCTTGTATCAGACGTATCTCTTTCTCTTTATAGCCACCTTTTTTCCAACGTAAAACTGTATGGCACAAGAGCCTGAGAATAGTTAGCTCCAGCATGTCCAGTGTATTTGTGGATCTCAATATCTTAGCATCCACGGCGTCTGCAGACACAGATGCGATAGAAGCTATATGAACTATGATATGCTCAATTTGCATATATCCGTCTTCGTTAAGTATCACACCAAGTTTACTGTGCATTAACATCATTGCATTCTGCAAGAAGTTTTCCACGATGCCTTCCTGGAACAGCCATCTGCGCATCACCAGTTGTATCAGACGATGCATAGAAATGCCGTTATCTTTTGCCGCGGACACAATAGAGAAAGCCTTTAGAACTCCAATGGCCTTGACGAGTTCTAAAGAACTTTCTCGGTCGTAAACGCACGATACGTAATCGACCAAGAGGTTCCCTGAGATATGCTGATGGTGAAAAGTAGATACCAAAGACAGTAATTCGCCAGCTAGTTTGTTCTGGTGTCGTATTTGTCGGAATGAAATCATCCAAGTTCTGGCAACGGCTCGCAGTGAGTCCGGATCCTTTCCGCTTGTTTCAAAGTCTTCGTTGAGCAATTCTACCATATTCTTGTCGTTTTTGAGAAGGGCTAAGTACTCTCTGACCGAGATGCTATTCTCTTGTATGAATGCAGCGGCTTGCACCAGTATCAGAGGAAGGTACTCAAGCTTCAGAGCCAATGTCGATAGATCGGCAATATCAGATTCCAAGCATCCAAGGTGTGCACCAAGAAGTTCCCGTGCTTCACTGTCGGTCATACGTGATACCTCGATGAAGCCCCGGCCTTTGGTAGCCCGTACAGCTACTTGCCGATTTCTTGTGGTGATAAGTAACTTGCCATGAGCACAGGTTGGAAAATATCGGCTGAGACCACCAGTTCCATAGAAGAGATCCAGTTCATCGACGTTGTCGATGACCATAAGCCACGGCTTGTGATGCTGGGCTTCTAGCCATTGTTTTACCCGCTCAAGAACATCCGACTTTTCTCCGCCGCAGGGAATCTTGAGCTGCTGCATAATATTGGCATATGCTTGCCGCATGCGCTCTTCATTGTTCGCATAAACCCAAAAGATTGACAGTTCTGGACTCTGTGCGTGAAGCTCGTGTACATAAGCCAGAGCAATCTGTGTTTTTCTGTACGGTCAGTTCCTTTTTCCTCATTGCTTGACAGGGGCTCTCTCACCCTACTCCTCCTAAGCCAAAGACGGCTGCGACAGCGTGAGACTTCTCAGGACTTAGTTGTTGACGCAAGTTGCCAATAATGTCCTGTCGGCCAACAAAGTCGTCGTTGGGCGGGAAAGGGACCAAGACTGTCGACCCTTTTATTAGCTAAAGCATTGTCATGCAGTTGGCGCATGAATACATACACCGGGGCAAGTTCCTCTCTTCAATTAACTCTATATCATGATCAACACGGTTCAAGAAGTGGTGAACAGGTCACTGACCAGGAGGGGTAGAAACTACCCAATGGCGCAGTATAGCTTTGGTACAAGCAGCGGCAGTCGCTGCAGCGTATTTCTGGGTAGCCTTAGCTTTGTGGCTGTCAGCATAATCGCACGCGCCCTTGACAACCAAGCATGGTAGACTGTCCCAAACACCAGCACTCTCCATCTCAAAGGCAATGACGCCAAGCTTTCTTGCGATGTCGTCGCGCTCCTCTCCAGACTTCATGACGGTGTCGCCAGACGCGATCCTTCCAAAATGCACTCTGGGTTCTGGTACTCCCTGTCTGAGCCGCTGTCGCGGGACAAGCTTTCCGTCGCAGCCGCACTTGTCACATGGCACGTCGTTGTCCACATGTCGGTAGGTAGCCTCGAATAGGCGATCTGTCCCTGGTTCGGGGTAATGGGCTGATAGTTCTCTATCTTCTTGCAGGATTGAGAGAAACTTTCTCATGTCGGACTCAAATGCTCTTCGCGATCGGAGGCTCTTCAGCTTCGATAGCAGGGAGCGGATCTCAACGTTGGGTCTCCCAAGAGCCTCCTCATTGGTATCTTTGTACTCAAAAGTGGCGGGGTATTGTCGTCTCAAATCGTACTGGACAACGCTTTGGCTGACAATGACATCACCCAATATGATCTCATGGTGTGCATCCCGGGGTCCAGGGGTGAAAGGGATGACTCCACAGACCCCGACGACGATGGCTAGTTTGACACGGGGGAAGCTGACGCGACAGTTGGTCGCGACAGCGGCTCCGTTGGCCTTTCCTGCTTCGGGCATGTAGGCGAGTACGACATTATGATGACCGATGCGCCCAGTCGAGTAGGAATTGGGGTCGCCGGGGGCTTTGCTGTACGCATGGCAGTCCCAGTACTCATCAAATAGCGCCTCTATCGCATCGGCTTCGAGGGAAAGGGCGCAGATGATGGCAAGCGGAAAGTCGGCTCGTGAAACGGGACGTTGTGGTCTGCCAATTGCAGTCGACATCTAAGCTGCTCGTTTTTGGAAGCGAGACGGTAATGGGGAATTGATGGGGAGTCGGGACACTTGTACTCGTCGCGGGGTGGACAACAAGCGTGTGAAGAGAGACAACGATACACCCAGCCATCTAGTTAGCACCAAAATTTGGAAATAAAGAAAGATCAATTGTGAGGACTGAAAATAGGGCTGAAAAAGGGGAAGTCTGCCTTATTCTGAGGGCGACCTGCGGCGAGCTACACGTGACTTGATGGGCAGGGGATAAACAGGCAACCAACCAACCACAATGCAAAAGGCACGGCTCCAAGGCTGACAAGCTATAAATATGTGATTGCTCATAAAAGCTACAGGGTGTGTCCTTGCTCGAGTTTTATTCATTCCAATGTGGCTAATGCTCACAGCCTCAGTTGCGAAAGTCACCATAAACAACATGCTAACAATAGCCATTGTGACCTGGAGATGATGGTTAAATTTACTCACAACAACAACTGAATTTAGTAATGTAAAAGAAACTCAAAAGCTCTAACGAGAGAACTTGGCCTGATCTCAGCCTTTGGCCGCAGTCATAGTTTCGAGGGACTGAGAACCGAAGCATACAACTCCAGTACTCTGTCTCTCGGGTCTGCTAATCGGGCCTGCGTTTCTTCAAATAATCGAGGCAACCCGGTTTCCTTGAAAGAAGCATTATTAAGGAGAAACTTTGCCATCGCTTGCCCACACAAGTAGATTTGCGGCATACCATGGCCAGTGAAGCCTCCCATGATAAACATGCCTGGACGACCAGGTATAGGTCCGACTCGGGGGAGCCTATCGGAAGAGTATCCCATGACTAGTTTAATGTCAGCTGCGATCAGAAACAAGACGAAGCGGGTGATAAGGCTTACTTCCAGTCCATATATCATCGACATATGCCCCGGTGTCCTCCCATCCATGGAAGTGTCTCTGCATGTAACCATCAAAGTATGATCGCACTTCGTCAATGACTTGCGTGTCATCAACATTCCCATACCATGAGTCAACAGACCTGATATACGCATCTCGAGCTCCACCGACAATGATACTCCCATCTAGTCGAGGGATCAGGTAGTCAAAGTTCCAGTCTGAGAATCGAAGAGCGTAGGTATTGTTGAGAAGAGGATGTGACCCCGGGGTTTTGATCCGGCTACATACAGCGCGGTACGGAATGATCTTGTCTTTGTATTCGGGAAGAAGAGAACCTGTGTAGGCATTGGTTACGAATACGACCTTTCGCGCTCTGACTTCACCCCTGCTGGTACGTAAAGTCCAATGACCTGTAGCATCCTGAGTATCGGAGACAGAAGTAACTGGCGTATTAGTTTGCAAGTTGATTCCTTGTTTGATGGCTCCTGAAAACATGTGATGGATAAGCTTGTAAGGCCAAAGATGTCCTGCCGTGTAGGTAAAGCACCCCTTTGCGCCCTTGACACCAGACATCTAGACACATTACGTTAGTATTGAGAAGGAACAGATGTAGCGTACTGACCATTTCCGCATCCTTCCCCTCAACGCTGAACGTATTGTTGGTCGTTTCGAGGCCAGCAGCAATAAGCTTATCATAACCCTCCTTGATACGACGTTGATGGCCAGTGGAGAGCTGTACATCAACTGCCCTCGTGAGCACAAAGTCGCAATCAACTTTGTTTTGTTGGATGTATTCAGTAACAGCTCCAACATTTGCGGCTTCAAATGACGCAACTTCTGCGGCGGCTTCTATCCCATACTCCGACGCGTACCCAGCAATCGCGTTATATGAGTCTGGCTTCAGGTGACCACCTTCAATTGTCAGTGCAGCACAAGAGTCTCGCGGGCGTTTTGGCTCACCATTCCGTCCAGTTGCACCCGAGCACAGTTGCCGGGCTTCCAGAACAAGAATTGAGGGCCTGTCCTCAGGTGAAGTTGTTTCCAGGATATGCGTGAGGATTGATGCTGCAGAGTATCCTGCACCAATGATGGCGATGTCTACCCATGGTGGGAGCTCCGCAGTTGACCGATGATTATCAAGATTGCCCGGTTCGGTCCTCCAAAAAGAGGACATCCCTTCTGGCGGAGGGAAAGACGCTGGGCACATTATGTCAAAGAGATAACAGCGCTTGGGCTACAGAAAGAAAGCCAAGGGAATGCAAGATAGCACAACAATGGTTGTTTCTGCACGGTAACTATGAGGCTAGTTTGTATACGATCCAACAAGACTCCGAGTGCCTGATGCTACCCTACGCATTGCTGTTATCATTGGAGTGATAAGGGTGGACCAACGCTTATCGCACTACAAGCCTCGATCTTTACTGCTTCTGGTAGCTGTCTCAAAGTTGCCTGTTTGATGCTAGCGCCGACGTCCAGGGTCCACTGCCAGAAACTTGCCTGATCTGGAAAGCAACATATTGAGAGCGTGGAGCTGGAGGGTGCTGAAGGACTTAGAGATCGGAGCATATCGCGATATAATCTCACTTACTGACAATGTAGATTTTACTGCAATCAGATCTCCAATATCGAAGTCATCATGAACGGCGAACTTTATGAGCAACTGACCGCTCCAAATGGAGTAACTTACAACCAACCATTGGGCCTCTTCATCAACAATGAATGGCGTCGATCAAAGGCAGAGGAATTTATATCGGTTGTTAGTCCAATGTAAGCCTTGCTGTCGATTAGTTGTAGATGTTCAGTTTACTGAAAGACTCCAGTGACGAGAATGAGATCGTCAAAGTCCACGCTGGTGGCGAGGCAGACATTGACGAAGCAGTCAAGGCCGCTCGAGCAGCCCTCAAAGGCCCTTGGTCGCACCTTTCTGGAACCGAGAGAGGCGAAATGATGCGCAAGCTCGCTGACCTTGTTGATGCTGCCACAAACGAACTTGCCACTATCGATACCTGGAATAACGGCAAAAGGTTTTTGTCTGCACAAGGAGATGTTGGTGAGCTGACAGGTGTGCTACGATACTACACTGGATTTGCAGACAAGCAATATGGGCAAGGTAAGTCTCAAAGTCGGACTGAGTAGACTTTGGGGTTTATTGACTAATGGTCTTAGTGATAAGTACAACTGAGAAGAAGTTTGCTTATACCACTGTTGGTCCGATTGGGGTTTGCGGCCAGATCATTCCATGGAATTATCCCTTAGGAATGGCTGGTTGGAAGATCGCCCCAGCCCTTGCAGCCGGCAACTGTGTGGTACTCAAGCCAGCCGAGCAGACACCTCTGTCTATCCTGTTCTTTGCAGATATCGTCAAGAAAGCAGGATTTCCGCCGGGCGTCATCAACATAGTCAACGGCTTCGGGAATAAGGCCGGTGCAGCTTTAGCAGCTCACATGGATGTTGACAAAATTGCCTTCACTGGATCTACAGCAACTGGACGTGAGGTGGCCAGACTTGCGGCGAATAATCTCAAAGAGATTACGATTGAGTCCGGTGGAAAGTCTCCACTGCTCGTTTTTGAGGATGCAGATTTGGACCAGGCTGTTAAATGGAGTCACTATGGTATCATGGCCAACCAAGGCCAGATTTGTACTGCAACAAGTCGCATCTTGGTACACGAAAACGTGTATCAACAATTCATCGAACTGTTCAAGGGGAGAGTCAAGTCTTGCAAGATCGGCAACCCCTTCGAGAGCGATACCTTCCAAGGGCCGCAGGTCTCAAAGGCGCAATATGAGAGAGTGTTATCCTTTATCGAGAGCGGTAAAGCTGAAGGAGCTACCGTTGCTCTCGGCGGCCAGGCAACTTCAGTCAATGGCAAGGGGTTCTATATAGAGCCTACTATCTTCACCGATGCATCGGATGATATGAAGATATACCGTGAAGAGATCTTCGGGCCTGTTGCTATCATCAGCCCATTCACAACAGAAGATGAAGCAGTGCGCCGGGCTAACGATACGATTTATGGACTTGGGGCAGCCATCTTCACGCAAGACATCACTCGAGCACATCTTCTCGCGAATAAGATCGAAGCAGGAAGTAAGTCGCATAACCGTTCAGATTGGGGCCCATTACTGACATCTACAGTGGTTTGGATCAACAGTAGCAATGACTCGGACTTCCGTATACCGTTTGGTGGTGTCAAGCAGTCTGGTATTGGTCGTGAGTTAGGAGAGGAAGGGATCCGGGCATACACAAGCAGGCGGTCAATTCATGTGAATGTTGGAAATGTCTTATAGATCAATCAATTTCTCTGTGGTGATACAAACTTTTTGTGATAACATTGAGAGGTCAAAGGAAGCTTAGTCCCCAACGCTCAACGCTCTCAGCCACGGCCCCCGTTGCAAGCTCTATTCCATGTGAACTCTATCAACGTCTCAGCGAGATTGACCATGGCAATTATAGATGCTTCAGGAGGAGACTTTAATCTCTTTGCTTGATATGTAGAACAGATGGCTTATTGAAGGATTTCATCGAGGTGGGCTTATGGAGGCAGTCAATTTTCCCGTGAACATAATCTGCTATATTAGGTGTCTGGCCACTGCAAGACTTTCCAACATTCATCAGAAGAATCATAGTCGGCAGTTTCATCACGACATAGACTTTCTGATCAAAGAATGAAGTTTTCGGAAGGTGAATTATTCCATGGAATTGAGTTATGGCTACGATGAGCCGCAAACCAGATATGACTCGAGGAATAAAAAGCAAGGGATCATTATAAAAAAGCATCCTATAGTAATGCAAAACGGTCAAGTTCCGCATCCGCTGATATACCAGTGATCCCGTACATCAAAACCATTAGCCACCCCAGAACCGAGCCCAAGTTCTGACAATTACATGTTTCTTGGCCAACGCATCCCTCTCGACTTCATCGCCAAATCCCTCCTCCCAGAAGCGACACTCCTCATCCACAGCCTGTTTCTTACCATCGGCAAAGATATCGACAGTGGCAGGAGTCACAAACTTGGTTCGCTTGAAGACCTTCCAGAAGATGAACATGAAGAAGAACCAAGCAAGACCGAAGTAACTTGTGATAAAGCCCTTCAGTGACCAAGGCTTGAAGATGTCGAATCCGATAAAGATGGATGTCGATCCTCCGATGAAAAGGCAAAGGTACGGTGTCCAAGAAGCACAAGGGGCGGTGAAGGGGAATACAATTCCAGGGACAGGTTGCCTATCTGACGTCTTCTTGAAGAGTGACTTTTTGAAGTTGTTTTCCCCTTGACGAGTGATTCCTTGAGCTTTGAGGGCTCGACGCCATCCGATGAACACCCATGTCATGGCTGTGAAGTTTACAACCAGTGCGACGGTGGTGAGGTCCAAGAACCAGGAGAAGACCTGACTCGCACTGGTGGAGGCTACCAAGAACGAAAGAAGGGATATGGCAGTCACTGCTGTGACACACACCCATGGTACGCCAGACTTGGTGCATCTCAAAAAGATCTTGGGTGCTTGGCCATCTTGGGCCAATGAGTAGAGGGTACGACTGGACGAGTACAAATACGCGTTTCCGCAGGACCATCCGGACAGCAAGATGAGGAAATTGATAAGTCCAGGCAGAAACCCTCTAATGTCGAGACGGAGAAGACCCAGGACCCAGGGAGATGCTGCTGCGCCAGCTTCGCCGTTCTCGATCGCTCCCAGAAGTCGAGGGTCACGCGAGTTGCAGATGATGCCAACGGCAAGAATTCCAACAACATAGAAGAACAGAATTCGACCAACGATCAATTTGGCAACCCTGGGAATCGTCTTGCGTGGGTTTCGGATCTCGCCAGCAGACAGGGAAATGATATCTGGGCCTCCGATCGTGAAGACGGCATATCGCACACAGATGCAGATACTGAGAAAGATGCCAGTGGCTCCTTCAGCATAGTATTCATGGGCCATGTCTCCGTTCTTCCAGTTTCGAAAGCCGTAGGCGTCTTTGTGAGGGTTACCGCCAACCATGGTGACAAATGTCGCCACGATAAGGCCAAGAATCAAGAGGATCTTGGTAGACCCCATGATAAACTCTGCTTCTCCATACCATCTATGCTCAAACTGTTAGTGATTATATCGCATTTCCAGATCCAAAGGCGACTTACCTAACAGCAACCATGTTCATGAAGTAGCATACAGACAACGCTATGGCGATCCAGACAGCAGGGTTGATATCGGTGTTCCAGTACTGCATAACAGTTGCGACGGCAGAGTATTCAGTACAGACCAACATGGCTCCCGCGTAAAAGTATGTCCATCCCATTGCAAATCCAAGAGCTGGATCGACAAACCGGGAGGCCAATTCGTAGATTGAGCCGCGAATGGGAAGCCATGCTACCATCTCGGCAACGTTCAGCATAGTAGGCCAAATGAAGCCAAGACCGTAGATAAGATATCCGATGATGAGAGGCAATGGACCAGCTTTGGACAAGACACCGCCGACGCCGACGAAGAGACCAACACCAATGCCACCGGCAATGGTCATGAGCTGAACATGGCGAGGTGATAGGCCTCTCCGGGTTTGTTGGATAGTGACGACGGCATGATCAGCGACAGCAGTGGAAATGTTCTCGTCACCGTCTGCTTTCTCAAGCGAGGCAGGCATAGTATCAAGCTTGACACAATGGAGGAAGAAGTATGGGCTGAGAGGTCATGAACTGTGAATAAAGATAGAACGTTCGCGATGGGATGGTCCTCAGTCCATTGTGGGGTTCGATGATCTTATAGAGGAGAGATCTCGACCCAAGCTGCTAAGAAAGACACCATGATACAGTAAACAGCCATTATCAGCACTATCAGCTCCACTGATAATAGATCCTGGGGCCCCAGAGTCTGGAACCTGGCATCTGGGAACAACTAAAGCGAATATGGAAACCTCATGTCTTGGCTTGATAACGCTGACTCGGTCCTGCTGATAGTTCGCCGATAATGTCACTTGACGCTGATAGTCCATCGTTGGGGTTGCTGATAGAAATGTTACGATGTTCAGTTAGTTCAACAGCACTTGGCTGGATCCACTGACAAACCCTGATTGGCAATCATCGACACTAACTTAGGGAGGACGCACCAGTGAGCAATCAGATCTCGCCGTTCAACAGAACCAAATGCAGATTAGTGTCTTTTGTCAGTTGAACTGAACATCACTTCCCTATCATGGAAACATTTCTGCTCTAGGGTCATGCTCCAAACGGCAATATGACTGAAACTGTAAACTGTGCCCAAGGGAATCAGATGATAGCCCAAGCCACGCAGCGATATGGAATTCTTGCCCGAAGAAGACTGGCTGCACGCCAGGGGCTTGCTAAGCTATCCGATCTACGGGCATGAGTTTAGCTCGAGTATATCAGGGAGAAAGGCATTCTGCCACTGCTATCTCGGCCATCACGACTAACTACCAGACAAGCCCAATCAATGATGAGTGATTCACGCAAAGCCACAGACCGACTTCTAGCTATTGCCCGATCGTTACAGCATCCAGACTCAAATTATGGCTTACCTGAAGAGTTTATGAGAAAGCTTCGCGCTGCGCTGCTATCAGACCCATTATTGCCGAGACCCAACCCTTCGATCTCGCTCTGGCAAGAACCTGCACACCCAACTGTATCAAGCATTCAGTCACCAACCCTTCCACAGTACGCCGATATTGTTGTCATTGGCTCTGGGATAACTGGATGCAGCGTTACCAAAGCCCTCCTCGAAGATGACAGTCTGGACACCACAAGCCGCATCGTCGTCCTCGAGGCTCGTACTCTTACCAGCGGAGCAACAGGCCGTAATGGAGGCCAACTCGTCTCTCCAGTAGGACATCTCTACAATACTATGTGCAAGAGACATGGCGAAGAAACAGCCAAGGAAATGTGTCGCTTCAGCTTCATGAACATTGAGCGCATCATGGGTATGCTCGAAGAGTTGGATCCAGAGCTCCGGGAGTCCAGCGAGATTCGACATGTACATAAAGTCATGGTTGCTGGGGATGAGGAGACTTGGAAAAGTTCGAAGGAGTCTCTGAACTCTTTCCGGGAGGCAATTTCCAGCCACCAAACCATACATCGTGTTACTGAGCAAGACGGCTTAGCAAAGGTATGGCTCTTCTACTTTCAGGATCGCCTCTGCCTATTGTAAATACTAACCTTTCTCGTTCAGGAATTTAACATCAAGAATGGCCATGGTGTCATCGACCATCCTGCCGGCGCGGTCTGGCCTTACCGCCTCATAACAGGAATCTTCGAACGTCTTCTCGTCCAGTACCACGACCGCCTTTCGATCGAGACGAATACTCCCGCAACAGCGATAAAATACACATCTGGTGCCGCAAGTGATGGTTCTTCTATATCTGACTACCCGTACGTCATTGAGACTCCCCGGGGTCCTATTCGAGCCAAGCAGGTGATTCATTGTACGAATGCCAACGCTGCCCACTTGTTGCGTCCATTGTTAGGAAGACTGTATCCATACAGAGGGACCATGTCTGTGCAAAAGGCTGGTCCCTATCTACAAAACGTGGGCAACAGTAGGTCATGGAGCTATCTGACAAAGTCCACTCTTGATCCCGTGTCAGAGCGATTTGATGGAGGCTTGTACTATCTCCAACAGCACGCCGCCACTGGAGATGTATGGATCGGCACTGACTACTCCAATGTCTTTGATGTTCTCACGTCTGACGACACTGCTGTACCGGGGCACTCGGTCGAAGCTTTGCTGAAGTTCTTGCCCAAGTACTTTGTGAAAGGATGGCCAGAGGATGAGCGACCGGAGTTGAAAGGAGTATGGACTGGACTACAGGGCCATACATCGGATGGGCTTCCGTTGGTAGGTAAACTACCGAAAAGTGTATCCGGGAGAGACGGCGATGGTGAGTGGATTGCTGGGGGATACAGTGGCTACGGGATGGATAAGGCTTGGATGACTGGTGAGGCAATTGCTAGTATGGTCACTGGCAAAGGAGTCCCTGAATGGTTACCCAAAGCGTTTCTCCTTACAGACCAGAGGCTCGAGCGGGATATCACGGTGGAGAAGTCTGTCGTGAAGTGGGTGTCAATAGCAAAGACTGGCGATTGGTAAATGATAAAAAGATGTACATAAGACATTTACATATATATAAATGCAATGAATACGGAGTTATTCACCCGATCAATGTGTTGAGCTGTTTCCGAGTGCAAATATCCAACCAGTAAACATCAACCTCCCCTTCGTCCAGAGCACTCCAAATACTCGTCACCAACTCAAGTATGTTGCTCACCTTTCTCAAAGGCAGGACATCAGCATATGCTGACAATCGGCTCTTCACAAAGTTCCGCGCTTGAGCAAGTTCAATAATGCTCTGCCCCATGCACCGTGACTCTTCATCCGCTGCGCCTAGCGATGTGACATCCTGTGGCATGCGACGAAGTTCGCTCGAGATAGCAACGAGAATCAGTGGCTGAATACACCGGCTTCTCGATTCAAAGGGGATGTCTCGAAGAAGCTCAAGGGTGTACAGTGCTAGACTCGTCAACCAGTAGTCCTTCTCAGCTTTGCTTGGGACCTTGGCCGGCGGTCTGGCTGAGTAAATGTGATTTGCATCCCACGGGTTATATCGTTCAGCGAGAAGGTCCGAAAATACACGGTAGATTTGGAGCAGACCAACACATCGGTATGCTTCGTCGATCTTGGCCAAGTGAGCTAGCGTTGTTCTTGGATCACCCGTGTCCTGGATCTTGGACGTGTCGGCAGGCGTGTATGCAAGCAGTCTTTTTTCTAGGCATCGAGCCTCCCGTATCTTGCTCTTGAAGAAGTTCATGTCGTCTTCTGTGATGAACCTGATAGACGACGCTCGAGAACGGTATTGGGAGACGAGATTTCCCACGTCAGTAAGTGTCTTGACTGTCTCTCCCGCCATTCCAACAAACGGGTGCAGCATGGATTCATTGCTTGGTTCTGAGGGCCCGATCAGAGTATCAGATTCAGGGCTGCCCGACACATCTGTAAAGAACGACAGAAGCATCCCCCAGTAGTCGACCGCAGTCTGGAAGAATTTGACCATGGGTTTACACTGCGTCCCAGAAGTCGAGCTCCACTCTAGCACTCGTCTTTGAGTCAAATGATATCTCTCTTTGGCCAAATTGCCAGGATCATGCCAGCTTGCAGTGTGGCAGAGCAGAACCGTTGCCAGTAGTCTTGCTTCGATATACTCGGCAGTATTTGGGTCATCCTCGTCTAGGCATTGAAGTGCTATCAAGCGTTCTTGAATTGCAGTGGTGGATAGTTCGGGAAAGACACTTGTTAGACAAGCGGCTGACATGCTTTGCATCGTGTGGTATAGAACCTTCGATGATTGCCATGAGCTTTCTGCTACTACTCGCATCAGGTTCGATGGGCTATCCCATGCGCAGTAAAGCGGTATGACTTCTCGTATAAAGAAGTCAGAAAGAGCTGTTGGGAGATTGCTCAGTTGTTGTGGTATTGTCAGTGATGAGTGGTGATCAGGGGCTCTGGTGTTGTAGGACTCTGCAAGCACAGGTGTCTTATCTAGATCAGTACAAGATTGTTGATCTTCATCGCGCAACCAGCTCATATCAATGGAATGATCCGTATGCGTTCTATGGTCTTTCCACTGCCCATTCTCGACCAAACTCGGTGATCCATCCGTAAAAGCCGTATCATCAGGTATAGTGATGTTCTCTGAAGGGTCCAAGTTTGGGAAAGGCCACTGTGAAACTGAAGGATCTAGGCTGAGGATGTCGGAGGCATTCAGTGCTGGGAATGGCATTGGGTCTGTATCTCCGAAATGAGGGAATAATAGCAAAGGATCCAATGTCGAACTCGTGATGTCGATGGTTTCCCCCTCGTTCATGTGGCTTGTTGAACTTGAGCATGGCTGATTGCCTCTTCTCGTCCGAGGCTTTTGACCAGAGCTGACAGACTTCTGTTGAAGTTGGTTCTTAGCAGACCATCGCAAGTTGAGGGCGTATCCAGGACATGATGAGCCTGCATCCTCACATCGTTTGCATCCCGGTCTTCTTTGATCGCATTTCACCTGTTGCAAGCGTTAGCATCAATCCTCATTCAACTTCGCTATATATACCCTCTTCTCTTTACATCTTGAACAGCCAAGGCGAGATTTTGTGTAAGTTGGTCGGTATGGAGAATTCATTCTGAGTAACAGGATCCAACCACTCCATTCCCAGATGCGACTTCGCAATTGATTCGATTGCCAGAGATACTGAACGGCCGTCATCGCGACAGGGAGTAGGTCAGGGTGGGGTAAGATGCCTGAGGTATCCGGCTAGTTTAGAGCCTGTGGTGCTTTCGCTAGTAAGTTGGCTAGCAAGCTACTCAACTGTAGCTGAATATCTTCATTTTCTATTTTGCAATTCATATTGTTTTATCGGCATCATGTTACATAGATGAAGAGATGAGAGTCACCTCCGTATTGATCATTGTGAGCCTAGGTTGTCTCAAAATGCGCCATCACCTTCACTCCAGCTCCTCTTCTCCAGTTCAATCTCCTTTACATAACCTCCAAATGGGCGGAAAACTTCGAGCAAAGCCCTAGTCCAGCGCTCATCCCATCTAAATCCCTCAAACTGAGCCTTGGTACAGTCCCAGTATTCAGGGTAAAACCCACTGTTTTCCCAATCGACGATTCCTGAGACCACCCAGCCCCTTGTCCCATCTAGTCTTGTGACTTTGTCCACAAGGATGTTTCGCAGGTTCAAGTCGGCGTGGGTAAATACAATTTGATGGCCTCTCCGTGCAGGATCATCGGGATGGCGAAGATATTGACTGAAAGAAGCTTCGTCTTCGAAGGGTCCAATGGGATCCCCATCTCGAATTCTTGGGTCGCTACAAGCTTGGCCCAGAGTATTACATATGCGGTTCTTGGGGCCAACGGGAGGGACTGCTCGTAATTAGGAAACGAAGATTTGCATTTGTTCGACGAACTCGTGGCAGTCTCGATCGGAGAACATATCCATTGCTCTGGCGAGAGGCTCACCGCAGAGACTGGTCGTCAAGAGATATGTATTTCGTGAGTCTGCGACTAGATCCAACACACGAGGGACCGGAACAGAAGTGTACTTGTGAACAAGATCGAGCGCTTTGGATTCGTTAAAAGCCCCTTCGTTAGTGGCCTTCAGGTAAAGACCGAAAGGCAGACGGCTAACTGCCAAGGAGCTTGTACTTCCATAAAGACGGTGTCCAATGTTTTTCAATACTTTGTACGCCGATAACCGAATGAATTGGGGGTTTAGAAGCCAAGCTCGCCAGAAGACTGTGCGGCAAATCTGGAATATAGCTGATATCAAACCTGGCCTGGATACCGAAGGTTGTATCGGCGCCTGAGCTATCGTGGTTTCGTTGTTCACGATATGCTTCCTGACCTCAAGCCATCTCATGCTCGAGGCCAATCGGGCCTGGGTCCCGATGAAACGTGCGTCTACCTTGCGTATTCCCGACCGTGAGTGGTCTCCGAGAAGAGGATATTGGCCATCGACATCGATCATTGGTTCTACGGTCCCAATCAGACACCAACCAACCCGGTACTGAGAGGTGTTAGTACAAGAGATCCAGACTCATTACATCACTCACTTCGATCATTGACGGTTTTAGCCGATGTAACTTTACCAACCCATTGCTGTAAGCCTCGGCAGCTGACCTGCGCACAAGCCAGTGGCCGTCGATGGGATCTACACGCTTCAGTCGCTCTGTATAAGCTAACCACCAATCGAGATAAGGGGGGCTGAAGAAGGCTCGAAGCATTTCATGGACTCTCGGCTAGTCAATGTGTCAGCCATGGCCAAGCTTGGTAGGAAGATCATCCCGTGTACCTCGGCTTCAAGCCAGCGGGATGGCGCGAGAATAACAGGCATGACTACCAAGGGGTCCCCGAAACCTGCTGGCTTCCCCGTGATGCAACATCGGTTTCCATCCCTTTTGAGGATTTGAGCTTTGGTCCTACTGTCGGGGGCAGGCGATGTGGTCCCGTACTTTGTGACTAAAAGAAATCAGGGCTAGGGTGCTGCATTGGTGACGAGTCCAACTCACTTGATTCCACGATGAACGTCCAATCTGAAATAAGCGCATAAAGATCGATCTTGCGTTCTTGGCCTGGACGACAGTGGTTGAGGACATGAGTTGCGGCAAGAGAAGGATTCAACGCATTTGCGATAAAGGTAGTCAGTAATTTCCCCAGAGGATGTGGCAGGTCTTCGTTCTCAATGGCAGAGAAAGCCTCCTGACATTTTGGATACCTGTTGGTATTCATGACGAATGGAGGGTTTCTCAACGTTACATAGTTGGCGGGTGCGGGGACATTCTTATAAACAGCGCATATTTGCTGCCAAGAAAGTTGAGATGAGTGACAGTGATTGTAATCACCCGATATGATATAGGTGCCTGATAAATGGCAGAACAATCGCTGATAAATCGATAAAGATTGATTGCGTAAGGTCAGGTAGAAGTTTGCTGATTGTTGGTTTGCCTTAGGGTGAGAGATGGATCGATGCCTGACAAGATCACGTGCAATTCCACGATTGTCTTCTCCTAACAAACAATGCGACAACAATCTGCACATTTCTAACAGACTACAAGACTTCTATTCAACCTGCTTCCACATCCTCTCCAGAACTCCAACCCTTGCCACAGCCGCCGGACCCGTTGCAGCAGCTCCGACCTGTTGCATCGAATGATCTGCCATCGCCGCCTGCAACAGCTGCTCATTCTGGTACCCATGTCCAACCGTCGAGTTTCCCACTGTATGATCATAATAAAAGTTTGTTGCGTTCAGATTTCCCGCTGCGCTAAACGTCACAGCTGCGAGACCAAGTGTTTGAGCCTGACCCAGAGCGTGTTTGGCAGCTGCTAGCATCCTGTTCATTTCGGGGACTGTCCGCAGATAGACCTGGCGACGTTGAAGCGCGAACGATAGGAAGGATGCTAGGTCTTGAGTTTTGCAGGCGTTCTTGTAGAGTTGTCGCATGCGAGGGGAGTAGAGGTCACAGAGTCGGGACTCGGCGACTTGGTTTCCCTTCATGGTGAAGTGTTTTTCCAGCTTCGTGCCCTTCGCCACGACGACGTAACATTCTTGACAGATATGGGCATTTTCCCATCCCCACCATCGACGATTCTTCCCCAATTCGAGATTGATCTTTGGACACCCTGGTGCGGTACTCAGATCTACTGCCAATTCGCTGAGTGGTCGCCAATCGTTGATGTAAGCTGCCTCAGCGAACTTCTGCAAGAAGAGCACTCCACGAGGGTACCCAGGCAGGTTGAATGAGCAGAGGCGGGCCTCAGATGGTCCAACAGAGTGTTTAACTTTGAAGAAGTGCGTCATGTTCATGGTAGCTACGGTGCCTGCCATACACGTCTCGCAAACATCGAAATCCGGAGGATCACTCGGAAGCGTATACCAGCGAATGCCCCTTGCACCCTGAGGATTACAAGGCGGATGTTGCGAGAGACTTTGCAGAGTGCTCCAGAACCTGGGGTAGTTGCCCTTATCAACCGCCCGAATCATTGGGATGAGCATGTTGGCCTGTCCCATGTCACACGAGGCTTCCTGTGAAGGTCCAAGACGGGCTGTGTGGAAAGACTGACTCTCGGTAGACTCGTGGAAGTAATCCCAATAGCAGCCTTCGCAGACCGAGAAGTTGGATGGGCCGCGAGAGGACATAAACCAAGTCCTCTCTGGACCTGCGATAGGTCGTGCCTTGGGACACGGCGGGAGTTGCAGTCTTTTGTAGAACTCCGTAGTGAAAGCTGTCCAGTTGTTGTTGGGTGAATATCGCTTGAGCATACGGCGGATGTACCAGAGATTGTGATCACAACTTGCTGCGCCCTGAGGCTTATGTATACTGAATCTGTTGCCGAACGAGGTATGTCTAAAGTAGTCTTCGTAGCAAGGCTTGCAAATTGCCATCTCCGGCCGATCGGGTGGGGAATACCACTCATGTCCCTCGACTGACTTATCCTCTGGACAACGACCCAGCGCAGGTCTCGTGGCCATGAAGCTCATCATGCTATCGAGACTCATTGATGAGAGAGCAGCGGGCCAAAGATTATCTTTGACACGAGGCGTTCCGAACAAACATTGCCGTTCCAATCTATCATCGTACCATACCGGTGTAAACGTGTCTCGAAACGGTGAGTTGAGGATGCGATCTGCGTAGCAGCGACTGCAGATAACGAATTCTGGGTAGGAACTGTGGATGAACCAGTAAGTCGGTAGTGTGAATGGTCCGTCGATACATTCAGTTACCGGCTGAATTCCCAATGGCATAGGGGTGCTGGGACCTCTGTTGAAGGCAGCTTGGTTGGGTGAGATTTCAACATGCTGGGGAAGTACTGGAGTACTTCCGCTTGCTGGCAGCTCCTGGGGAGTCTGCTGAGCCTGAGAAGGGTATTGCTGTTGGTGATACTGCTGCGGCGGCGGCGAGGTCACAGGCGAACCCTGGACTTCCACTTGGGGTTGCACTGGTGGAGGAGGGTAACTCTGATAGTATTGCTGCTGTGGCTGCTGTTGGTATTGCACCGGATATCCGGGAGCATTAGGATATCGCTGAGTTTGTTGACCCTGTTGCGTTTGTGGGTACCCAGCAGGCTGTTGCTGTTGCTGCTGCTGCAGATCCCTCCCAGCTTGTCTCACTGCTTTCTCCGCGTCGGACAGAAACTTAGTTAGTCGACCCATTTGTTCACACAGATTCCAGCAATATTAGACGAGAAAGTCTCACAGTGAGTCAAATATTTCAGCTGAGCACTTATACTTGCACGATGCTGCCCCACTGATGCCGTTGCGTGCCGACATTGCCGGTCAGTATGCCTCGTTTTCCCAGTTAGGCTGAACTAACTCGATTGGATTGACAGCTAAGATACATTGAAGCTCATTGGGCTCGGAGCAATTACAAACCCGGTATAGAACATGCTGACTTCGTTCATGTTACGCCCTGTTACTGCGTGATTTATCCCTGTTGCAATTGACATGACTCGTCGATGGAGCAGAATCAGACTCGTTGACTGTCGTCGCAATGATCAAATTAAGCTTCATGTAGACTGTTGTTTAGTGTTTCAATATATATCTATTCTAGTACTTGTACTGCTTTTGAGTTTTCCATTATCGGGTAGCAGTCTTTGAGATGTAAAAATGTGCTTATTCCCATTGACAGCCATACGAAATAATTCGCCGAAAATGCATACAGCAGACCGACATGTTTAACACTCGGAAATAAACCACCATTCTTACTTAGAATGGCATCTGGCGAATCAGATCATTTAGAAGACGCCTGGAATGAAGCGCGCGGTGACCCGACTCCAAGCAACCCATTTCTCTCCAAAAGTATCCTTTAACATTCTCTCCTCATCCTTCACCCTCATCATAAGCCTCCGCAGAATTCCAAACACGAGAACCAAGCAAAATATCAGACCCCAGCCGCTGACTGTCAGTCGAAAGCCATGAGGAACCCAGCAACCGAATGCACCGTCCCATCGCAAGAACAGGGCGAGGTTGACGACCAAGACCACAATTTGTCCCGTGTATCCAGGATGTTGAATGTACCGATAAATACCATCCGTCATCAAAGTATCAGGCGGTCCGAGTTGAAAGGTAAAGTTTTTTCCAAGATGGGCAAAGGCCGTGAGCCGAAGCGGTCCACCGACAAGAACGATCATCGACAGACAAGCCAGTGTGTATGTATTCCAGCTGAACAGCTCTGAGTTCAAATTATCAGGATGAGGACATACGAGGCTGGAATCACCGTAGCCCATGGAAATGAGTGCATGGAAGACGCCAACGCTGACGGCAAGAATTCGTCGGATTCGTGCTGCAGTTGGGCTGGCGTATTTCCCGAGACTGTCTTGCTTCCAGCCGTCGCGTGGAACCTCGTTGGGCGGCTTGAAGCAGGACATGGTGATGAGGCTGGACAGTAGAACTGCCCCTGCGAAAGAGGCTTCATGGAATAATACCATCGTTTGACGAATGTTGAGATGAAGGTTTAGCTGAAGATGGAATTGTGTGAGATTATTGCTTCCCCGATGAGTGGTGAATCGTTCTCTCTTAAATGGTTTCGGCATCGGCAGTCGGCGGTTATAACCCCCGACATTGGACCAAAGCACGGCGAATGACGCATTGTCCTGCCACACGATATTTCTTGATGCTTTCGCATTCCCATTACGGTCATCGGCAAACTTGCTGCCGATTGACCGCCGTGAAGGTCGTATGATTATGCTGTCCATCTGATTAATAATCCCGACAGCCAACACAACGACTCAGCTTCGGACCTTTACATAATGCTGACCTCAATACCGACGGCTAGATGTCTGACTTGCCAGAGAACAAATTAAGTAGGACTGTCTCTTTCCGTTGCCAGAAAGAATCCTCTGCGTAGACTTGTACAAGTTGGAATTTCTTGTTATGTCGGTCCTCTTGCATTCGAAGACGGTGGTGATCTAGCGAAGCTTTAGTGTACCTCAACTCCCATGGTCAATTGATTGCACTTAAAGACCCTCAGGGAAGTCGCCTGAGAACTAACTTGCTATGTTCCTGTTGCTGTTGCTGGGCTGAGGCCTCTTTCAACCTCTCACCCTTTGTCACAGCAGTTGCTCGAGGCGAAATTTTGTGCAGCGCCTTGGACCCTCGTTGTCTGCAACCTTCTGGGGGTACAGCTTAAACTGTGTATTTTATAAGTTTATTAATCTTTATAAAATAAACTTATAGAACTTCAGGTTTCTACTGTATTATCTTTAGGGTAATATTCTAACTTTAGTATAACTATCCTAACTTTAGTACCCTAACCTTAGCATAACTATCCTAAATTTAGGATTTGGCAACCGTCACATTGAACACATACTGCAGTCTCGTACAATGAATTTCATTACCAAGGCCAAAAGCTATGCTGCCAATCCGTTAACCCTCGGGGGCCCCAAATCTCATACAAATCTAACCCAACGCTCACTTCATAATTTCCCGCAGGGTATCCTTCTCAGACCACATGTTCCCTCATCCACTCCTCAAGACCATTCTCCCCCAAAGTCTCTTCCATTTCATCCCCCATTGCCAAAAGCCGATGCATCGCGACCAGGCTTCGACGAACATTCTTCTTTGCGTTCAGTACATCATGCAATTCGCTGATTTTATTGTTCAGAGGGTCCATGTTGGCCTCTGCAATCTGATGCTTGGTCTTGACGTCGTTCAGACGTCTTTGTTTGGTGCGCAACGTATTCTCAGCTTCTCTCTTCTTCTTCTGTGCAGGGGTGTTCTCTTTGAAGTGCTGAAAGTTCTCTTCGGTGAGGATTCTCGGGTTGTTGCTGCTAATACGGCGCAATTCCTCGATGACCTGGGCGTCGGCTTCGCAGCGTGCTCTTGCGTGCTGGACCGCTTGCGAAGCCTCGGTGGCTTCTTCCGTGGCTTTCTTGAGTTCCTCGGCGCTGTTGCGGACGGTTTCGAGGTATCCCTCACGACGTCGGGATGAGTTGTTTATATTAGCTTCGGTGCGCGTGATGTTCTCTTCGACTTTGGCGATCTCGCGCTTGAGATGGTCGGTGCAGGCAAGTAGGCCTTCATTCGGAGATTGGTTCTGTATGGTGTTAGATTAAGTAGCCAGTGCCTCTCATAATAGGAACTCACAGGTGCATCGAGAAGGCGGCTTCCTCCTCCGGCATTTCGCTGTAGAAACGATTGTCGTAAGGCCGCGCCGTTGCCGCTGCCAGGTTCCTATTTTGACTCGTTAGATGTATAAAAGGTAATGAATGGGTATCTTGTATCTACCGTGATGGATTCTCCCATGAGTCTAGATAACTCCTGGGTGTTCTCGGGTGAGAAGTTGATGAAAACCATCAGCCTTCGCTTGGCTGGAGGCTCGGCTGACTCGAGCTCAACCTCTTCCTGGTCGTTCCCTCCACCTCCGTCAGCGTCATCGTCAGCGCCATCATCTTCAGAATCATCTGCATTATGGAGTTGGAAATGGTGGCGGTCGCTGTAGTTGATGGGGCGCTTGCGAGCGGATCGAATTGCTAGTCTTGTTAGCCTAATGTCATTGTTTCTGTCTCCCGGAAACAAACTTACGACGCGCGGATCTGGTAGCAGCTCGAAGATCCCTGGCCTGCTTTCTATTCCGAGTGATCCTCTGAGGCTCATTCAAGATGGACTCGTCCGATTCCGAACCAGAGTCGTCAACAAGCTCACGCTTGTCTGCCAACCACTTGGTGGCTTTTGCGATGAGCATGTTGTTCAGCTGGTACTGATACTTAATATTCGGGTGCTCCGCAGAGTGATGACGGAGGTATTCTATAAGCTCTTGGCGTGATACGCCTTCGGTCTTAGGAAGGTCGATGGTCAGAAGTCTCGTGAAGCCTGAGAGGAGATTCTGGCCCCATTTCCGGGGGCCGAAGTCGATGACCTGCCAGGGCCATTTGCCGAGTTCTTCGTAAAATATCACAAAAAGCTCGTTGGTGCGTTTGGCATGCTCGTTGTACGGCGCAGGCACAGGTGGTGCTTCGAAACTCATTGTTGTGTGAGCCAACTGGAAGGATAGTGGACGATTGCTTCACTAGGTAGGTATGCCAGAGGGGAGTCTGGGTGGGGGAGAAAAAGACGGAAAAGACGAAAGGCTTTTATCAGGTTAGGTAGGTAGGTTGGACGCGTCGAGGCTCGCGAGGCTGTGGGTGAGATGCAAGAGCAAGGGCCTGGTACTTCGGTACCTAAGGCAGCCTGGAGTTGGGATGAATAGGTAGTCTAAGAGTTATAAACTTATAGAATTTAAAATAAAATAGGTAAAATAATAAATAAATTTTATTTCTATTTATTTCTATTTATAAGTTTTATATATATTTATATAAATTTATGTAAATTTACCTAAGTATTTATAAATTACTCTAAACTTAGGTAAGTTATAATAAAGTACCGTCACCTCAGTAGCAAGGGCACGGCACTGACGGCTGGATGCAGATGCCTCCACAGTATGCCATTTTCAATCACTCGCAGGAATCGTCATTCCCGATACGTCTTATTTCTCAATACTCAACGCTTTTCTCTGTCAAATTAGATGCTGTGGCATAGTAATCTAGCATTCAATTATCTCTTTTGCCATCTTTAGTTGTCATGAACCCTCCTCAGCAGCCGCGAAAGAATAAGGTACTCATCTCTCATTATGCTGATACCCGTCTAAGGCCCATCAAACGCCTCAACATGAAACACTGCGTAATTCACTGGAGCCTGAGCCAGGCATACCAATCGAAGGAGATGTTGACGCATGACCCTTCTGCTTTTCTTGATTTAACGGCGTTAGCAGTGGGTGTGGTTACCCACTATTTCTTTTCAACAGCGATCCATGATGATCTAGTCTTATGGGCAGCAAGAATCACATCACAACAACTACAGAAGGTCCCCACATCTCGACGGGTATGTCTCTGGCGTCTGTCACTGATGATGTTTGTAAGGCCGGCTCGAATTGCAAAGCCTGACCAAACCACAATGCTAAGCATGAATATTGACAGGCATTTAGCTCTCAAGTCTACTAACTCATCTTAAATTATTCTAATATATTAGAGCATTCTCATCACTTACCTTGGCTTAGTATTGAAGCCTAGCCTAAATTCTCCTAAACTCTTGGAGTCTAACGCAGCGCTGAAGGTCTGTCATGAGCTCTTACAGGCGGCGCCCGGGCGCACAGAAAGTTAAGTTCACTGGAGCCGCAA